ATTGAGACCTGTCTGTCTGTCCGTCTGTCCGTCCGTCCGTCTTTCCGTCCCCTTCAGCGCCTAGTGCTCAAAGACTATAAGAGCTAGAGCAACGATGTTTTGGATCCAAGCTTCTGTGATATGTCACTGCTACAAGAATATTTCAAAACTTCGCCCCGCCCACTTCCGCCCCCACAAAGGACGAAAATCTGTGGCATCCACATTTTTAAAGATACGATAAAACCAAAAACGCAGAATCGTAGAGGATGACTATATGTTCTAGATTGTAAAATCTTAACCAGATCGTATAATTATTATAGCCAGAAACAAGAAAACAATTTCATTCTTTCTCGCTCTGTCTCTCTCTAACACATAGGTTTCATGGTCGGTTTTGCAAATTGCAAAATATGAGTTCAAGGATCTCAGAACCCATAAGAGCTAGAGCAACGAAATTTGGTATCCACACTCCTGTGATATCGGACCTAGACCGTTTTGTGTCAAAATTTCGCCACACCCCCCGCAAAGGACGAAAATCTGGGGCATCCACAAATCTCAAAGACTATTAAAGCCATAGCAACCAAATTTGATATCCACACTCCTGTTAGATCTCACTATAAAACGTATACCTCAAAATTTCGCCCCACCCCCTTCCGCCACCACAAAGGACGAAAATCTGTTGCATCCACAATATTGAAGATTCGAGAAAACTAAAAGCGCTCAATCATAGAGAATGACCATATTTATCAGATTCAGATCGGATCACTTTATAGCCAAAAGGAACAAATCAATTTGCAGTGGCTACGCAGACTACGCAGACTGCGTTTAATATTAGCGGCGTCTGCCGGAAGAGAGCCATACTGACTAAGTATCGGGTATAAATGTAGAGTTGCGGTCTCCGCAGCAACTCACAACGTTCCGCCTCGTTTATTTTTGAGTATATTTCAGTTCATTATAGTTCACTGTGTTTCTTGATAGATAATATCTATAAAAATTATGTGACGTGACTGTTCATAAATATAGAGACAGGAATGATTCATCTATCGAGCTTAAAATGTAATCATAAAATATCTCTCTATTTCCACATACAGACTCACCTGTGACGCTTGACTTTGATATTTCAAAAGTATGCTTAACTTGCGGGTCCGTTCCGCCACAGATGGACTCATGTTTATGTAGTTTGAATAAACCAAATTTTCTACACTTTTTTTCTTTCGAGTACATATCATCTTGATTGAAATTCGTTTAGCGTGTTGAAAGTGTAGCGCAGAACTGTGAAAGCCGCCACTACTAAATTGTTCCTACTCAATTGCGGTATCAGTGTTATTTGTAATGGGCTCATGCTCGCATGGGCTGCTTTTGGGGTAACATGACATACAAACGGTGCAACATCAACTCACCGATGTGTGTGTTAGATTATAAACAGGTTACATTACCCTAAATTACGAATAAATTACGAAGAAGCGGGTAACCGAGCGCTCACATATTACGACTATTACAAGTAGAAAAGTGGTCGACATTTCGACTAAATAATTCCATCTACTCAGATACCTTTCTCTGTGGGGGGGGAGTTGTCAAGGTGTTATTTTATACCGATTATGGTGTACCCATAAAGCTCGTATAATCTTCCTGCTAATCACACCGGGCCATCTATATTTCGACTGTATCTTTATAAACAAACAGATTTCCTGCAACGAGATGTTTTTTTACCAATCATTTCTACAGCAACTATATAATATAGTGGTCCGATTTCCGATTCTGATAATGGATTTTCTTTAATAGACAAGTTTCATATAAACAGACGGATATCACTGCGTCGACTTGGCTTGTAATCCTGGTCAAGAATACGTATATGTATGTATCTTACTTATGAGGTCGAAGGTGCTATCCTCTGCTACCCTCTTTAAGGGTAAACAAAATAATGAATAACATTTAAACTTATATTCACATTTGACATTGATTTCAGATAAATTATCAGCGAGCAAAACCGGAGGTGGTTAAATAATTCTTGTTTATACAATATTATGTAAAAATAAAGGATATAAGAATTTATATTTATTTTTTACTTACATTAAGCTGCATGATAATTTTGTTGTAAGCCCAATGCCAACGTTGCCGAGCTGTTATTTCGGCCTGTCGTATCACTTGCATATGACCACCAACTACTTCCTCGGTTTCACCCCGCATGAGTGGCTTTCTCTTCAGGGACTTCAGTCTTTTTAAGTCAGCGAGATCAGACAATTGATCATTTATATCTTCATCTCCTGTGACTAGGTCAGGTGACACCTGTTCTTCACATCCAATTAAAATTGATTCTGATTCTTGAAGAATGCTGTCCTGCTTTTGAACCGGACGATGTGCTGGCGTCAGTTGCAACGAAATATACTCCTGTCTAAATTTGTCTGTTTTTTGTGTCTGATTAATAGCCTCTTCGGTGGTGTCTTGTCGGGCTCCGACGCCAGTAAGGTCGATTTTATTAGCCTTGCTCCCTTCGACGATACCAACGCTCCCACTAGAGCTTTCATCTAGATAATTGCCACTGTCTTCTTCACTTTGGTAGTGTTCGTAAAGAAAGTCATCGTCCTGTCCTTCGTCAATGAAATCTAATGATGATTGATTGTTCGATAGCATCATTTTGGTTTGGTGCTGCTGTCTTTTGTTGCTGTTGCTTGGTTGCTGTTGTTGCTCTTGCTGTCTCTGTTGTTCAAGATACTTATATTCATCCTCCTCATTAAAATAGTCCTCCCGATAGTCATAACCACAATTGACGTGTTCATAATAACCATTCGGCTGACTTGACGGTGTCGTCTGCTGATGACCCATGTAGTAATCACCCTGCTCACTATCAATGCAATAACTCGGATCTTTACCGATCGGTATATCCATATCATCTATATCGGATTCATCATCAAAGATCTCAGTAGGCATTTGTTTGATTAGCAGCCCCGACTTACCATTGATGGTGGGCAGTTTTTTGCCGGTGGATCCTGCTGGCGGCACCGTCGGCAATATTTTTGCCCCATTTCCAACAATTTGGGATTGCCCGGCTCTTACCATATCTTCACGCTGGCCTTGATTACCATTCGAATATAAGTTAGCAAATAACTTGTTATTGTCAGGGCTGAAGTCATGCACTTTGATATTACTATTCTCATAATCTTCGCCAGTATTTGAGTAATGGCTTGACAGTAACTCCTGATTAGTCAGCTGATTGTTGTAATCGCTATTCACGATTGCATCAAATCCTGCGGATCCCATTTCAGTCTTCGGTGGATTACTTGCATTAGGCGAGGACATAGCAGACACGTCACTCATATTATTGGGACGTGTCGCTGAAGGTGGCACTAATGATTTTTGTGTTACAGCTGATGCTACCGAAGAGGCGCCTTGGTTAACTGCTTGTGTTGCTGATTGCACAGCAGCCGCAGCTTTTCCGAAAATGGATCCAAGCATTCCACCACCGCCAGCTGTACCAGAAGACGCACTTGTTTTTGTCGGAGCCTCATTGGGATGTGATGGGATAACAGAATCGGTGATTTTCGATTTTGAAGCCAAGTAATGAAATGCTTCGGAAGCTCTTCCGAGCTTCATATCACTGGGTATGTCTTTATATGACTCATTGTAGCTGTAACTAACGTCGCTGTTACCTTCGACTGATGTTGGGTACGAATAGGGATGCTCTGTGAAGCCATACTCTTCATCATGGTCCAGCATTACCACGCTCACTACTTCGTCAGTTAAATTGATCTCATCATAGGTTTCCACATAACCATAACCAGGATTAGTATATGTTGTTGAGCTGGGTGCAACGATTGCATTATTGTATACATGAGACTCGTTTATGGGGGTTAGTGTCGTACTACCGGCTGTGTATGGCTCCCCTAGCTTATATTCGTAAAGATTCTCTTCAAAGTTAGTTCCCATACAGACAGCACTAACTTCCAAAACGTTTTCTGTTGTTGTGGGCGTTGGTAAAGCAGCAGCCACACATGTTTCAGGTTGTGTTTGCTTGCTGGAGCTGGGGCTGGAGCTGGAAAGTAACCCACCCACAGCCGGTACAAACTTAGATGCTAGGCCAAATCCAAAACCCTTTTTACTGGTTATGTTAGCCTGCTGCTGTGTTGTTTCCACGGTTGAACTGACACCACTAAAAACGCCATCTAGTCCTCCCTTGAGACCTTTGGATAGGCCGCCTAGCACACTCGTTGCCGCTGAAGCAACAACTTTGGCCTTTTGTTGCGTAGGCGTGGGTGACTTTTGGACAGGCTTATAATATCCACCCTGACCAGAGTTCAGGTTTGGTTCAATTAAGCCAACGTGATCCAACTTTTCGTTTGTTTTGCTTATAGAAATCTCCTTTTCTTCTCCGATGGTCATTTCTAAGCTATTGTCTCTGTTTGACTTTGGCGCGGCAGTTGAGCAGGTTTCACTTTCAATATGGGATATGGCTGCAGTCAGTACTGTTACGTCGACATTGAAGCTGTCGTAAAAAGTATCATCGAACTCAGTAGCTATGAACACTGTTTCCGCGGGTTCGACGCTATTGATGGGTCGAAATTGAGTGTCTACTGAACATTCTGTGGTGGCAGTCGGTGCTAATGTTATTGAATTGTCCGAATCGTCAATTTTGACGACACTTTCCGATATAACAAAATCTGTTTTAGATTCCTGGCATACTACAGGATAACTGAAATCTTTATATGTGTCAAAGTTAGACGGTGTTAATTCGGTTAAATAAGACTGCGATGGAAGCGTGCTTGTGATTGTGACCTTTCTTGAAATATCAAATTCTGTATTTTCAGTCGGAACAATGACATCGTTAGCCACGGAAATGTTGGCCTCAGTTCCAGTGACACTGACAGATGAGTTACTGTTACAAATCTCTAGAATGGGTTGCGGCAGTTCGGGTAACTCAAATTTCTTCATATAATCGGTGTAGGATAATATTGGGGCTGTTGATGATGTCGAAGTTAACGTTGATGGTGAAGGTGAAGCTGAAGCTTCGCGGCTAGTGATAATTGGTTTTACTGTAGAGCTAGATGCGAAAACAGTTTTTGTGAACAAATCGTCAGAGTGACTCCAACTCGAAGTTGTGAATAAGTCGTGAGAAAAATTTTTCGTTGGGGATATTGCTTCGGTTGCATGTTCTAAATTGGTAGTCTCGGTCGGTTTGCTGAATAAATGCGAATATGTAGAGAGGGGTGAGGGTGAGTCACTCAAATTGAAATTAATCGGTAGTGGTGGCGTTGAAGTCGAGTCTGCAGGCTCAGCCTGAGGTGGTTGATAATTGACGGAGCTACTCCTTGCAACAGAATATGGATTGTGTGCGTTCAATGATGTCCCAGATAAGTTTAATGAATCAAAGAAATCATCATTTTTTAGGTTTTCATGGCCGTATGAGGGATCTATTGTTTTGGTGGTGCTGACAGCAATGGTGATATGATCTTCTTCATGTTCTCTGGAATAACTAATTGCATCTAATGTATAAGGCTTTAGATATTCAGATATGTCAAAAATGGTTGCATCGGGCTTGCTAATGTGGGAGGATGATTCAGTTATGGTCGCAGCTAAAATCTCTGAGCTTGGTACTGGTTTTATCAATGATGGCTCCATTTTTAAATTCAGGTAGGAATCAGTCGATTCTTTTTCAGGAGTGCCGGCTATTGGCGAATTCTTCAGCTGCATCTGCAGACTAACACTGCAAGGCAGCTCCCTTGACGGACAAGGATGGGGTTCTAAGGGTACTGGAGGTGATACTGCCCAAGATTTCAGCACTATATCATTTTCGGACGATGTCAAATCTACTTCATTGGTTTCGTTTTCCTTACTAACAACAGCATAATAAGGTTGTGGGCTTTGGCTAGTGTGGCTTAGTAAGTTGGTGGTTGTAAGCATCGAAAAGCTTTCCGCTTCAGCTTCCGGTGATGAGCGAAAGGCTGCTGTGTCGTCTAAAGAACTAAATGGTAATGATGCCACTGATGCAGGAGCAGTCGACGCGTTCAAATTGGAAAGTAACTTGGAATGTTTTTTGGCCTGGAATTGGGAAGTTGGCAACTTTGGGAGCTGCTTTGGACGATGATTTTTCTCTACGATGGGTGCTGAAGATTGTAATGAGGAACCTGATGTTTCATCTGAGGCTAAGGAGGCGGTTGTATACAATGTTGATGATTTGTACTGTGGCGTTGGTAGAAGTTTTGGCAATTTTCTAGTTGTCGTCGATGTCATCGTCATAGCAGTGATGGGAGTACTAGTAAGAACTTCCCCACTGCAAAACTTTGTCTCTGACCACCATCCTGAAGCTATTGCAGTGGCATTGGTACTGGTACTGGCGCCTAGTAGAGACTCCGTAGCTGTAGTTCTCTCCTCTGGTTTACTAGAGTTTTGAACTGGTACCCTAGTCTCACCAGATGCTATTACAGACGCCGTTGTCATTGCCATCATCAGAGAAATTTTACGCTGCTGCTGTAATTTATGTTGTGCGTTAGCTGTCGTGTTTGGCGGTGTATCGCTGTACGTTGACAGACTGTCCGCATTGTAGTTGCTCTCTTGGTAATGAGTGTAGTCTAATGGCAACATAGAAGTGTAAGGCCTTGCCATTTGTCCGAATGCGTCGTAGGTGATGGTCCCAGTGGCCTCTGTAGGTGGGGCCATACAAAGTGCTGTCATGGTTAGGTCACCTATAGATGGATCTTCTGCGTATGTTGAATCTGCATTTAAATCAAATAAATTTTGACTTAAACTTGAGCGCTGAACTCGTCGTGCTCGTGTTCTCGGCAAGACACGCAATGGTGCTGCTGGCACCCTATTATCTGTAATTGTTGGTGCATAGCCAGTATGTCCATTGAGATTATTTTCGTAGACATTCTGGTAGGCGCCTGACCCATGGTCTTTTGCACTGTCATGATTGGGCAAGCAGGCACCATGGTGGCTGGTGTTTTCTCTTTGCGGGTACATATACATACCTTCCAGATCCATCTCCATTCCAATGTCACCTCGAACAGTCGACCCGTTCGCGACACCGTTACTACTATCATTTTGATTGGCCGGCAGCAAAGGCAATAATTTTGTTGAGGTACATTTTTGATTTCCATATTCAAAGCCATATTCAGCTGTGATAACCGTATTATTTCCATCCCAGTTGTCGGCAGCTTCTCCTTTCACACCTTGTTGGTCTTCCTTACTATAGTAATCTACATAGTCGTTATTATAGCTGCTATCTACATGTGTAAGTTCTGTTTCACTGGTCCAAATCCGCTCACTACCATAATTTAGCGGATGGTTTAGTGGGTTTCTTAGATCACTGTACTCATCGTAGTACTCCGAGTTATCATTTACCCTATAGGGATTATTGCTGTTGTTTGGTTGATGACTGTTTGTTGATAAGGCATCATTTTTTTCATTATAGAAGTAGTCGTGCGGTACATAATGCTGGAAGAAAACCATCCGATTATAGTTTGTTCACCATCTTTATAGTTCTGTACTTTACCGTCATATTTTAAGATGTTTTTGTTGCCAGAAGCGTAATCTGGTATCGTTTTCCAAAAGTCTCTGCTCAAAACTGATCCTATAACTGTGTGGCATTGTAGCGTCACCCTACCATCAGAAAATACACATAAATACCTATGGATAGATTACGATGGAAATATCATTATTTAAAAAAATTGTATGCGTGCTTTGCAAGAAAAAAGAAATTGTAACTAACAAGACACTTTTAAAGGACTATCAGGACTATTGAGATACATTTATTAGAAACCACAGAAGCCGGCCACTTCATTCATACACATATATACATACATATGTATGTACCAATTTGTTTAGCATAGATCCCGGTTTCCGAAACATTTCCACGATTTGCTTTGTTGTATACACTTTACTAAGCAACACCAACACGATACAGAAACATGTGCATGTTCAGATGTGCATTAGTCGTACATATGTTGTTGATAATCAGAAATCATAAGATAACACAAAATACACTTGGTATAACCTGTCTGCATTTTATTTAATCAAGTGCATTCAAATTGGCACATCCATATGTACATATGCATGCACGTACCGTACCACTAGGCTGGGCTGCACACCCACACATTCAGTTATTCACATTCAATTCTAGTTATGTTTTTGTTATGCATCTGCATATGTACTTATATATATGTATGTATGTACTTTTTTAGAACATATTGCATGTAATAGGTTATTCATTTTTATTTATTTACTTGCATTTTTCAAGAATTTTCACATTTGGTTTGATTTATTAATTTCTAATGGATTAAAATTTAACCATTTGTGGTTTTGTTTTTTATAGAATTTTGTTTCATTATAATATTCATTTCAAACGCACCGTTAAGAACATTTGTAAGCATCTTATTTAAAAGCTTTTGCGCTGTTTAGCTTATGCGTTAATTAAGTAATCTTCCCACCATTTTGAAATTCTTTATGTTTAGCTTCGTTTTTCTTTGTACAGAGCAACTGAAAAATGATTATTTTGTATTGTATAATTCGGATTGAGTAAAAAAAAACACCGGACATGCGCACAAGAGAAAGAGAATGACAGTAGCTGAGAGCTTAGATGTCAACGCTATTCGAAGAGAATTGGACTATAGCTGTCAGTTGTTGAATGTTGCCACATATCTGATATGTCAGATGAGTAACAGGCATGACATACTAGTACTTGAGCCCCCCCCCCCCCCCCCAACACAAAACCGTTATGACCAAGCATTCCGAATAATTTCTAAAACTATTTTAAGATATCGTTGGCCCATTAAAGATTTCTATGCTGCCACTGCTCCTCAAAAACCAAGCACGTACCCGAATTTATTATTCTATATACTATTGACCCTGCAAACGTTGTTTTGCCATGTATATTATTTCTAGGAAACATTTTTTAAGTTCAATAAAAATAACTATAAGTATTTGGGGATTTTTTAAAATCTATTAGATTCGTTTGGCATTGGCAGCAATGAGCCCACTTTGTGATTTGTGGCCTTTGATTTTGAACGAGGAATTAAATTGTTGACCGTTTGCAGCAATATTGTTAACTACTTCTGTTGCTCCAAATGATGTCATTTGGAATCATGAATTGAATGTGTGAATTGAGTTCAAAAACATGCTAGAATCTGGATCTGTACCAATAAGTAAACCGTGCAATGGTTCAGGTGGTGTTTAATTTTTGGTTATTTGTACTTTTCCTGATGAGCAACACATCCCAACATAAATTTGAGTGCATGACAATACGGGCATTCCACTTTAGAATGAGCATAATATTTAACATCAGGCTCATACTGGAATGCTAGTCGTAGAAATAAATTTGATGTAAATGCTCGATGAAATTGTTCGCGTTATTGGTCAATTCCTCTACGTCTATTTTCGACTATGTATCTCCGCGTTACTCTCCGTTCTAGTTGCCTTTGTTGATTTCGTTCATCTCGGGCATCTTGCTATTGTGATTCACGAATCTGCGCCAGCTCACCTTAGATTCGTACTCTAGAGTGGTCTCATCGGGATAAAAAATATATGTGGGCCGATGCGCACCTAACCGATAAGCACACAAATTTTCACAAAAATTGGTCCAGCCATTTCGGAGGAATTTAGCAAAAAAGTTTGGGAAACGAGAATTTTATATATTACATAATGATTGAGTATAGGGATATATTGGTTTTTTTTTAGGTGCTTGTTACACTCAGAAGAAAGCGTTTCCGACCCCATAAGTATATATATTCCTATCAGCATCCAGATCCGAGATAATATACATACGTGGGAGATAATAGTAGAGAAAAACAAGACTATAAAAATACCAAAAAAGTGAACTTTTGCTTATTTTAATGTTTTCTGATCAAAGGTAATGTGTATTGTGGACTTTTTGTCGGAAATGCCCATGTGTAATGTTAAAATATTTGTGTATCCCACAGATCACATCCCTTTTTGGGCAAAATTTAAAACATACATATTTGATGTTCGTCAGTAGCGACTCCAAATTTATCAGAGTAAGTGGGTCTTGGAAATGTTTGGCTGTTGCAAAGCCAATTGCCAATTTTAGACTCAGAAGAATCTATTCCGCAGGGTTATCTACCTCTGGGGTTGTAGACCACTTTGACAGAATCTGATAACCTGTTTTGTGTTGATGACATTCAAAGGATAATTCTGGCTGTTATATGATCCCTCTCAACCTTAATAGATTAATCGCGTCTTTTATGAAGTGGTTTTTAATGTGCTTACCTCAAGCCTAATTTAAAAGTAATGTTTCTTTGTCGAGCTTTTAATACCCGATACTCTAAAAGAGTATAGCGGTGTATTCGATTGTGCGGGGGATGTGTGTTATGCCCAGAAGGAAGCGTTTCCGACCCCGTTTCTTGATCAGCATCAATAGTCGATTGAGCCATGTCTGTATGTCTAGTTCTCAGAGACTATAAGAGTTAGAGCAACGAAATTTTGTGTCCCGACTCCTTTGATATCACACTGAATCAAGTTTATTTCGAAATTTTCACACGCCCTCATAAAGAACGAAAATCTGTGGCAATTTCAAAGATACGAGAAAATAAAAATCGTATAATCATTCTTAATGACCCTACCTTGCAGACAGCAAAATCTAAATCAGATCGGATCATTATTGTAGACACACTCTTTGTCGTGCATCATGGAACAGTCATACTGATTACTGATATACTATATTAAAATATTTCGGTTGTTACCTACCTTTTAACTTGTTAATCTGAGTGATGAGTTACATGTAAATCTGAGTTACATGTGAGTATTTTTGCATCTGAAAAAGTGTTTTCGAAGTAATTTTTAAACGGTCGGATTATGATGTCCTTGGAGCCTCTAGACGTTCTATTTTTTTTTTTACTGGATTGGCACTGCTAGTTTCCTTTTTAAATTTATTTGATTTTTCAGCACTTTATTTATTCCCGAAACAAAGAGCTCGCCAATGTTATAAGGATGTATTTAAAATTTATATGAAACGGATTACAAATATGTAATTTTTAAAGTAAAATACGCATGTAAAATTTATCCGTTTGTCGTTTTTCACCATTAAAAACATTATATTTAAAACTTTATCGTTCTGTTCAAGTTACAAATAGATGGATAATCTCTTAGAGATAGAAACATAATCAATTATTCAGTTAAATCTATAAGCTGTACTGGGAAATTCTATTTTCACTTTAATTTTTTTTTGCACTTCCAAATTGGGATTGGTATAAATTTTCTAAATTCGCCTTTGCGTACATTTTGTAGCTGTCTATTTAGTCGTATTGGCGAACTAGACTAGCCAAAGCATTTCTTGTCCCTTTTTGTGGTGTTCTATAGCTATATTGTAAGAGCAACCATCTATAACTAGAAATTTCCTCTGGGTTTGCTTTATTTTACATATGTTATACACTTTCATATTATTGCATGTACTCGTAATGCAAGAACCGCAATATCTATATTGAGATAAGTCCATATCGAATCATAGGTATATTTTTAAAGAGCTCTCTTCACAAACCAGCTTTCTGTTTAATTAATTTTATTACAAATTTAAATATATTGTTTTTGTTTTTTATTCCCCTAAGTCGCTGTCTATGTCAGCTCTCCGAGTACTGTGCTGTTTAGTTGGTTTCATCATTGAATAATGAGTTAAAGAAGGGATTAAGACTTTTAACAGCAACGCCTAATAACGAAAAAAAAGGAAAATTAATGAATGACAAAGCGTGTATATTTGTAAATCTTCTTAAACTGCATCTTACCCTTTCCTGCTGATTGATCCTTTGAATCACGCCACTTACATAGCGACTCCTTCTGTATAACATAGGCATCATATAGCTCACCAATTAGTTCACTTAATAGTCCTAAGCCAATCAAAAAATTATGAAAATGATAAAGCTATGTGCTCATATATGTATTTATTTTCATACCTCTGGGATGCTCTAAGCTATGCACCAATAGTTGCATAGCATAGAGGCATTCCAATTGATGATCTTCATGCGAGTCGATGTATCGCTGCAAAACTGGTATGCAAAACTTTTGGAAGATTTCGGGCTCTAGTTTGTAACTGTTGTCCTTGTACACAATTGCAAAATTACTCAACGTTTCAGTCAAGCCTCTAATAAACAGTTTATCAGCCACCAAAATATTTCCCTGAGAGCAACATTCAATAAGGAATTATTTTCATTATTAAATTAAACTACTTCAAACAATTTCGAGCCTTACGTTACTGTAATCGATGATGCAGTCTGCCGTCGCTCCTTCCTTTAGCAAATGCTCTATATGTTCTATCACATTTTTAACGTGCTTCTCTGGTGTTTCGCGCTGCTCAATCACTGGCGGTTTCGACTCGTTTTCCACATACTCTAGTCTCTGTTTCAAATTACATATAAATAATTGAGATTACATGTTATTGCATAACAAACTTACATTGGATTCAATGAAATCGATAACTTCGTTGTCAGGCATAAAGTCGGACCAGTGCAGGTTGAACTTGATCCACATACTACGAGTGAAACTCGGTCCTACTTCTCGTGTACAGTATGTCAAATAGGTTTTGAGGAACTTTTTACCCACATTTGATGGGCTGTTGTCTTTCAGATTTTTGTTCCACAGATCTGATACCGTCAATATTTTCTTCACAATTAGTGGTCCTACGAAGGAATCGATTAGTGATCTATTAGAACTGGAGGTCATCCTTTTATATTACCGGCAAATTGCAGAATATACAGCCAAAGTTCTGGAATATCAAAAATTAAATCGTTTGCGCACTCGGCAAATTCTTTGTACGCCAGTCTAAAGTGATCCACGGAGATGTAGTTCTGTTGTATTAGATGCGCCACGGTAATGGCCAGGTACCGCCTGTACTGTTTGCCCACATTGGCCAGATGTAAATAATCCGTTAATATGTAGTACAAGAAACCACAACGCATGTCCTCCGGTACCCGTTTCATACACGCAACTACCGTCGGATTTACACCCTTGGAGGCTGCGGAAAGCTCTATCATTTCCGAGACAACCGCCTTGATCAGCTTCATGTCGGCATCACTGGGCTCGCTGAACACGGCCACAGGGGCCATAGGTCGATTTATCTGAACTGACGTTGCAGCGGCACTGGAACTGGACGCAGCCGACTGCTGATCACCACCTCTGTAAAGGCCTCCAACGTTGACAGCGGAACTTCCTAGTGAGCTTTGTGCCTATTTGTAAATTAAATATTTATAAAATTATTCAGTGGAGACCAAGCATACAATATCATTCATGGCGTCTGAATCTTTTCCATTTTATTAGATTTGAAAAATTAATTAAGAATGTTTTACTTACCTTGCCAGTAACTCGAACTGATGGAGCCTGTTGTGTATATTTTGAGTGACTAGCAGACTTTTGAACTGAAGAGTTTATCAATCCGCGACTCTGCTGTCCAGCGCGAGAGGATGAATTCTCACGCGATCCCTGTGATGATCCAGTTCTCGAGTTGAGACCTAAATAATTGGCATTTACTTTGAGTTAAATTTTACGAAAAAACAAACCTCTATCGCCATAACGATCACGCTCCATAGATCCCTTGTTGTATGATCCCTTGTTTCTGGGGCCACTGCGGTCACGGTCACGATCCCGATCCCGTTCGCTGCTATTCTTATCCACTAGGGACGACAACAATGCAAAGGGATTGGATGGCGTAGTTGTGGGAGCAGAAGATTGTCTCGCAGCTTCAAAATTCCAAATAAATTGAGTTAGACCACCCATTTTTTTGTTCTCTATGTTTTGGCTTATGTGTAAACTCTGAAAAGAAGAAAGCAAATAAATTAACAACCAAACTAATGGACTGTGTAACTTAACAAATTTAAAACAAGAAAGGAATGCAATGTCCACTTGGACTTTTTTGACACCAAACGAACAGAGCAAGGCGAACCTTTATCGACTGTAGTTCTGATTCTGGCCGATTGTTACAACTATTGATGACATAAGTGAAAAAAACGTGTCTTACCAGACCCTCCAGTTTATTGCTATCAAGAGCTTGAGAGCGGCTGCCCTTGCTTGTTTGTACATGCCATGTGTCATCGTTGTTTCCGTTAGAATGACCAGCACCACTGGAGCCACTGCCTCCGCCTCCGTTGTTTTGCTGCTGGTGTCGCAGGTTTCCATTGTCCCCGCGCTGACTGTGACTGCCGGAATAGCCGCTGCCAGAACGAGAATCTCCGAATCGAGCATTGCTGCGATCGTCTCGTTTTCCCGATCCTCCCTGGGACCCAACGGGGGTAGTGCCGGAGAGCGGACCAAAATATTGCGCTGATAGCTGCTCGTTCTTGGTCTCCTTTTCGATTTGTCCCATGGTTTTCGGTGCTTCGTTGCGTGTCGATTGCCATTTGTTCTTGCGCAGATCTATCACGTCTTGGAGCATAAACCGCACGCGGGAGCTTACTTTGGCGCCGTCTTTGTCGGTCTTGGAAGCGATTGCCTGCATTCTGGCTATGGACTTCTCCAGCGAATAGCATCGTGACGGTTCCTTAGAGCTGACGGGGGTCTGCTCAAACTTGGCCCCGACGGTTGTCAGCAGCTTGCAGAGGCACTCAAGCATATCCTCCGAGTGCGGATTCAGCAGAGTATCAATGCAGGAGTATATGATTTTACCAGTCAGCATAGATATCTTAAAGAGCTCCCCAATAAATCGAACCGTGCCTCCGGAGCGTCTGCGTATTTTTCGCTCTTCCTCCTCCAGAAGTGCTTCAAGCTCGGCTTTTTCGTTCGGATCGTTGCACTTTTTTATCTTGTCTACAACTGGCTGCAGTTTCTTCTCCTTTGCGGTACTTTGTGAGACGTTCTGCGTGAACTCGCGCTCCGTTTTGTCCAACAAGGCATTCCGGAAGTGTGCTAGATTTGATTTAGTGCCGCTCTCCATACGCTCGTCGCGAGCTTTCACTTCACTTATAAGGCGATGGCACAGCCTGGCGTACGAAACCGAGAAGTTTGGTTCGTCAATGGCCTTCTCAAACACTAAGACAATAACCTCGTCCATCTTTTCGGGCGTATCAATCTTCAATTTGATTATCTCCTCGACCAGCGTATCGAAACGCTCGGGGGTAAGCTTGTTCAGAATACCCCTGACCCGTCTCACCAACTCATCCTTCTCTTGAGTGGCCTTAACGTCTGCACTACTATCAGACTTGTTTACGCCTCGAGGACGCCAGGCATTCTCGTTCTGATTCAGTTTCACGTCCTGATTCAGTGACAGGTTGACATGTATCATACCCTTCATGCTGCTCCTACCACCTCCACTTTGCACACCCGACATCGACACCTGTTTGCCAATGAAACCCCCTCCCGACTCGCTGTTGCGACCTCCAATCACACCAACCATCGACTGCACTCGCTTGTTGTTGTTGTTGTTGCGGATGAACGACGGCATTAGGTTTGGCTGGGGCAGTATCGAAACGTTCTTTACTTCCGGCTGTATACGCGAGGCCTTTGCCTCGCGCAGCTGCAGCAACTGCTCGCGATCATATTGTTTCTTGCCACTGGGATTGCTGGGTGACCATTGACCCTCATTGTAATTAATCAACGATGATAAAACACTTTCTGAGACTGTGGCTGTGCCAGTGGCTTCTGGTTCCTGTTGCAGTTTAATATCTTCTTGGAGTTGAGGATCGGCAAAAGACTCAGGCTCCGTCTCTGGCTCTGGACCTGTCTCAGGTTGACGCTCTGGATCTTCTGCGGCAACACTGGACTGCGACTCTAGTGCCAGCTCAGAGAAAGGCGTCGTATCCATTGCACCTTTTGATAAAAGTTCTTTAGTCGTTATTTCTTCTACTGTTTTGGATGGTCGGGTCTCGCCACAAATCTCTTCTGCTAATGCCATCGGCGCTTCATCAGTCTCATCAGGGGAACTTTCGAAGATTTGTTCTGGCTGTGTTTGCTGTATTTCACTCTGGTGGGTCTGGGTTTCCTCAGCTGCGGCCTCTGATATTTCGGTTGAAGAGGTGTTCTGTGAGATGGCTTGGACTGTGTGAATCGACTTGGCTTCGACGGAACCCACCGAAGCGGTATCAATGCTCGCCGTCTCCGACAGTTCAACAACGTCAACAGACAGATTTGTTGATATCTCCAATTTTAGCAAATCGGATGAAAGGTTCTCAGTGGGCAGCACAGCAGCTGAGGTAACAATGTTGGTTCCCTCCGTTGCGGCGACTGGCACTTCCGCTGTGATCTGTGGCGGTGGCTCCTGCTTCTTCTGCTGGGAAGTGGATGCAGTCTGATACGATAGGTTTTGCTGAGTAGCCTCCTTGGTTGTTTTGGTTGCAGCGTCTGGCTTTGCAGCTGCATCATCCGCATCAGCTGGAGAAAATAAATGACAAAGTAGACATTTGATTTGTTAATTGTGTTTACTGTGCAAAATGTAAATATTGAATCTTAATTTTGATTTCTTTCGTATTTGTTTAGATCCGGAAGTGAAACAGTTTGTAACTGACAGGAAGCATAATATTAACTCAACTGGGTTTGTGTTTAAATTTCGACGATTGCTTTCTCCTAGGAGACACCTTAAGGAGCAATACCTTAAGTGACACACAGTTAATATTTGGTTAGCGAGTCTGATTATGTCAATTTTAGCGTGGACAAGAATAAAATTATCCTCTGAACCATATACCTTGGCACCAACCAAATTGAACCAACTCTGAAATATGCGGTTTCAGAGGTATTTACATACATAGTTTACGAATGCAAGTTTCTGACTTCGAGTTCAGGTTTCGTTTAGGTGTCGGTCCAAAAAGGATCACGAACAGTTAAACTTTTCGAACTTTTCTCTGCGTAGCCACTAAAAATTGATTTCTTCCTTTTAGTTATAATAATTATTCGATCTGATCTCTATGATAGTGCGTTTTTAATTTTTTCGTATCTTCAAAATTGTGCATGCCACAGATTTTCGTCCTTTGTAGGGGAACACTTGCAGCAGTGACATATCACAGAAGTCTGGATACAAAATGTCGTTGCTCTAGCATTTAGTCTTTGAGCACTAGGCGCTCATAGGGACGGACAGACAGACATGGCTCAATTGACTCGGCTATTGATGCTGATCAAGAATATATATACTTTATGGGGTCGGAAACGCTTGCATCTGGACGTTACACACATTCAATTTCACCACAAATCTAATATACCCCTATACTCATTTTGAGTATCCGGTATAAAAACAGGGTGCTGTTAAACGTAAATATGTGTTCAGCCCGGAATGGTCTATACAGCTCAAAACACTGGATTAAATTATTGCATCAACTTTTTATTCTTTGTTTCCTTTCGTTCGTGAAGGAAGCGGCTTTCCGAAAAATTTGCTGCACAAACTAGAACAATTCGCCCCTGGAAAAGTCTCAAAGACAAAGACATTTAAAAAAAAAACCCCTCGAAGTGAATTTGCTGCATATCCGTTTTCAAATAAGCTAGATCTAGCCTTAAATAGGCTAAAATGGCAACACTGACTGGCAGTCGGCCGCCGTTTAAATGTTAACTCTCACATGACCCCTTGAGAAATTAATTTTCGTTTGCGGACACTTTTTCGGTCTTTTGGGTCTTCTATGAAAAGGCACAACAAAATCCAATACTTACCACAGAAAATTGGAGAATGGCTTAGATCGTAGAAAAATGATTTCTTTTAGGGTTATGTAAAATTGCACAGATGAAAATAATTGAGTGTGCGTAAGACTGTACGCCTTTTGATGTTTGTCAATTCGGTTTCAAATAGTTTCAAATACATAACGGTGCATATCTATTATGTATATAATGGATGAAACCCAACTGAAAGGGATGATATAGGACAACGATAAAGCTTTCTCTCTATGCAGTAATATGCAGAGTATGCAGTAGAGATATACTTGGTTCTCTTAATAGAATGCATTCGAATTGGACTGAATGAGTTATACGAGCAAGCATTAAGGATTGTGCAAAAACGAACCGAAATTAAAGAAATAGCATTGCCGGAAACATTTGAATTACTCCAATGGTTTTATGCCAACTTTGTGTACTTCATTGCTACATTGTTTTTCTTAAATTTTCTTTCTCCTTTTCCTTACGCACAGCAAAACTTCAACAATTAAAAGACCCTGTGTTCTTTTGTAAATATGAGTAAGCACAGGCAGAGAAACAATAATTCAGACTCATTCTTTTCCTCTTCATTCGAATATTGTGCGTCCGAGTAATCGGTCAAACTTTTCGTAGTGGCATTCGTTCATTTTGAGCATTGTTGATTCAAATGCCGGCTTATTGCAGTATATTTTAGACGTCATTAAATGCATATAGGACCGCAACCTTTGTGAGGGTTCACGACCTGTGTAACATATTGTATTCCCCTAAAAGTAGATTTATATTTTCCTTACAGCGAACAGAACGTTCTGACTAAACGATGCTCCTTTAAAAACTTGAATAGTTTGATATTTTTGTGAATGTTGTAGGTTCTTCCTGTGGTAGCTGTTCTTAGAGCCATTCATTTGTATACAATTCGGCATAACTATGAAAAAAGGAGGCAAATGTAGAGATATGTAGATCTGTCGAGCTAGTCTAATTGGGATTGTTTTTTATATCTACAGCTCTAAGTACTAAGCAGGAATATAAATATACACTTTATGCGTGGATAAAGGTCGAAGGGTACAACAATTGCACAAATTCACGGTGGTTTCATCTAGTGTTTTATACTATATAATATATGTCATTCATATACAAATCTGAGGTACTAATTTACTCTTGTATTTCACCTTTATACCTAGTGGAGATCCTCAGTGCTTTCAAATAATCTTATTTTTAAATGAATATATGCCACGATTGACCAAACCCAATTGCAAAATATAATAAAAAAAAAAATACAGATACAAATTAAAGGAAAAATATGCAATGTAGTCATAATCTACAGGGCGGTACTAGCGTCACCCCAAAAATTAAACATTATATATATGTTCATATGCATATAAATACGATTGTATATATGTATTTTAATCACATACTTATATACACGCATATAAGTATACTCATACTTATTCACGTTAGACGTGCGTTGTCTTACCGACCAACTGTCGCGTTGTTGCCTAGGCGCTATAGATAGACACAGATGATATCGACTCGCACTAACACTCAGGCACCCAGAAGTGATCACATCGAACCAATTTGCTACGAACTGAATTGCGAACGGAGCAACAGAGAAAGACGTCCGCCGACCGACTGCCACTATTCGCTAGCAATCTAAAAAGAAAAGGTCTAAACACACTAGCATCAATTATTATTCGGCTACGCACAGCGATCGGACATGTGTGCGGACTAATGAATGAACTAACCCACACAGAAGTGACCAGAACTGACCAGAAGTGACGATGCTAAAAGTTTATTATTCCTCGGCAGAGCAGTATACAAATCAGTAAGGCAAAATTGTGATTAGAGCCAAAGAAAAAACAAATGAAATTAAATCTTGAAATGACACCAATTGTCATTAATATCATACAATGTCGGAAAAAATTGTATTTCCTTGTCACCTGAACACCCAAGTTCAACTTATTCATCCAATAATGTTGCGACGACGTTGTCTTGTTTAAACTACTTTAAATCATTTTCGCCCTCGAATAATGATAAATTTCATTTTGTGTTCTGATAACACGATTTCGAGTGAGGTACCATTATTATAATGAAGGGTGGGGGGTTTCCATTTGACGGACCTTGAGCAAGGGGTACTAACCTTTCTAGGTTTCAAGTCTTCAATTTACTTGAATAAGGTTGTCATTGGGCATAGAGGCGTAATGCCAATTCAGCTTCCACTTTGTTTATACACTACTGGTCAAAATAATAAGTAGATGTTTTTGAGCTTTTTTTCACGACTCAAACAACTTTTATAGTAAACACAATGAAAAAATTAAATTTACTTTTAGTTTTCTAACCTACCGTCGATTATAAAATATTTGACATAAGCATTTATCACCTCAAATAGTATATAGTTTGTGATCGATAAAATGTAAAAAAAAAAAAAACAAGGGATGATCGAAAAATTAAGTACAGAAATTCTACAAAGCCGAAAACGCGAAGCGTATCAACATTTGTTCATTGTTTTCGTATTATAAGTAATCGTACATATGCTAGCATACGGGGTAAAGCAACCTTATTTTTGTATTAATTTAGCGATTGTTTTTGGCATACAAGTAAAAAGTAGGCGGCCAGTCTCCACTGAAATCTCATAACACGTGCTTAACCATTTTCCTTGTGTACCGGACGTCGAATTCCCTGCCTTTGGGCCGCCGTACATATCTTCCGGAGTCAAAAGTTTTATTTTTGTTTAGTCCCTCCATAATATATTATCTATATCAATATCAATCTGAACAAAATATATCGAGCGCCCTAAACTTTTCGCAGCTTCCCGAAGACTTCCCTTATTTTTGAAGATTCCAGGCAATCTTCTTTTCGGCCCATCTAAAGAACTAGTATTAACTTTCATGTACTTAAATATGCATATACTTACATTTTGAGTCGGACGCGCCTATGATCTCGCGGGAAAAACTAAGTCGTTAACTGCTTTTAATAAAAACTTATTTAATGAAATATCGCTGTGAAAGATATAAGTTTTGGGACAGCGAATTTGAAAAGGTAATTTTTAGCGATGATAAAAACTTTAATTTATACGGTCTGTGACAGATCTCCTGGAAAACGAACTTATGTCATTTGCAGAAGAGTTGAACGAATTGAACGTTTCAGCAGGACAACGCTCCTAAAAATGTTGCACGATATAAGATGCCGTTTCTGAAGTCGAAAAATATTCAGGGCATAATTTCAGGCGAAGTTTTTGGGGATAGAGGACAATTCAACCCCTTAAAAAATTTAGAAAAAGCTTTAGCCGCCTTCCAAGACTTGTTAAACACGATGCCCCGACGGTTGTTAACAAAACAAACAAAAAAATTTATTTGAAAAGCTAAAATTATTCTGATGGCTTGTTTCAGGATGCGATTTTCGACGTTGATTTTCAAGGCAATAATGCTCCAATCAACTTACTCCGATTATTGACGATGTAGCACCATGCATTGCCACTACGAAAAACTGGTACGAGTTCAATCGTGGACATCCATTGCTGCAGGATGAGTCACGTGACTGTCGTCCAAAAGCTATTGTTGATTTCAATTTAAATGTATACTGTGAGTTAGGGACCGCAAGGTCACCATGGGACATACCGTGACAAATGCAGGCATCTTTGGGCATTAAAGAGACCAGCATAGATTCAATATTGCATGATACGACATAATTTAACAATAGCCCGCAGAAAAGACTATCGTCAATTGGTCTGAAGAAATGCGAATCAACTAGTCATGTCGAATTTTGTTCGATTGACAAATTTAGTAAGATATTCTAAGTGGTTCACAAAGAAAACCAACCTCCAAATACGGATTGTTGTTTACTACGAAAATTCACGTAACGTAACAAATCGTTTTAGCACCCAAAACATTTACGTCGGCATAAAAAAGCTATTACAAGAAGCTCAATTAATTTTGTTGTACAGATTCTATTTTGGTTAATTGGTTAAAACGTTTTAAAATAATTAAAAGCAATAAATTCATTTTTAATGATATGAACGTAACTTAAAGTTCCTATGAATGATACCGAGTTTTTGGCCGTCGAACTTCAGTGATATAAATATGTACATATGTAAAGGCATAGCATCAGAGGTGCAGCAACGGTTTGCAAATGATATTCCGGCTCAAGCTATTCAACGTCGATGTCTTTAATAGCAGGGACACTTTACAATTCACTTCTGAATAGTCGAATAAGAAAAATTGCTCTATTGCCACCGTAAAGCATCCGCCTTATGTTATGATATGGAGAGGTTTCCGATCGCACCGATTTAGAGAATCTACTAAATAAGGATCCTTCTTATGATTCTGCAGTTTTCTTGTATCCTCCAAATTGTAGATTATAAACGATCTTCTTCGGTTTTATGTGGGAAAAGGAGCGGGCAATAATAGTATTCAAAATTTATTCAAGTGTCCATCAATACAAACGACACGTGCTGTTCATTTCACGATTTGCGAGGGAGCTAGGGGCCGTAGGAACTATTTTTTGGTGTCTAGAACTAAAAATTAGACTAAAAATAGAATTGGCTTGACATCGAGGAGTTCGAAAGCCAAATATTGTACAAAGGATGATGCACCAGATGATGTTGGATTTCAAGGGTCACGGTGACCAACAGCAACACATTACATTATCTGAAGATCAGTCAAAAGATCAAATGCAAGCGATGAAGTATCAAGGTGAAGCCCAATTACAGAGATTGGGAGAGAAATGGATTGGCTCCGGTATATCACAGCAGCACTGATAAAGCAATATAGATAGTTTCCGTCAATTGGAATATCCGCTAGATGGCGCAATTCAAGGGATTTTTAGCAGGGATTTGGAACGTTTGAACGTTTAACATACAAAAAAACGAGGGGGAACGTTGTGAGTTTCTGCGGAGACCGCAACTCTACATTTATACCCAATACTTAGTCAGTATGGCTCTCCTCCGGCAGACGCCGCTCATTTGAACGAATCGACAAAGAGTGCGTGCGAGAGAGATAGAAAATCAGTCTGAGCGTGACGTCGGGCGCTGCGTAGCCACTGCAAATTGATATTTTGCTTTTGGCTACAAAAATGATCAGATCTGATCCAGATTCAGCAATCTGATAGATATGGTTATTCTCTATGATTGTGCGTGTTTAGTTTTCTCGAATGTGCAATATTGTGGATGCAACAGATTTTCGTCCTTTCTGGGGGCGGAAGGGGCTGGGGCAAAATTCTGAGATATACGTTTTATAGTGAGATCTAACAGAAGTGCGGATACCAAATTTGGTTACTCTAGCCTTAATAGTCTCTGAGATTTGTGGATACCCCAGATTTTCGTCCTTTGCGAGGGCGGAAGGGGGTGTGGCGAAATTTTGACACGAAACGGTCAAGGTCCGATATCACAGGAGTGTGGATACCAAATTTGGTTGCTCTGGCTCTTATAGGTTCTGAGATCCTTGAACTCATATTTTTCAATTGGCAAAACCGACCATGAAACCTGAGTGTTAGAGAGAGACAGAGCGAGAAAGAATGAAATTGTTTTCTTGTTTCTGGCTATAATAATTATACGATCTGGTTAAGATTTTACAATCTAGAACATATAGTCATCCTCTACGATTCTGCGTTTTTGGTTTTATCGTATCTTTAAAAATGTGGATGCCACAGATTTTCGTCCTTTGTGGGGGCGAAAGTGGGCGGGGCGAAGTTTTGAAATATTCTTGTAGCAGTGACATATCACAGAAGCTTGGATTTAAAACATCGTTGCTCTAGCTCTTATAGTCTTTGAGCACTAGGCGCTGAAGGGGACGGACGGACAGACGGAGAGACAGACAGGGCTCAATCGACTCGGCTATTGATGCTGACCAAGAATATATATACTTTATGGTGTCGGAAACGATTCCTTCAGGATGTTACACACATCCATTTTCACCACAAATCTAATATACCCCAATACTCATTTTGAGTATCGGGTATAAAAAGTTAATTTTTGTCATATTTTTAATTTTTGTTATACCCGATACTCAAAATGAGTATTGGGGTATATTAGATTTGTGGTAAAAGTGGATGTGTGTAACGTCCATAAGGTATATATATTCTTGATCAGCATCAATAGCCGAGTCGATTGAGCCCTGTCTGTCTCTCCGTCTGTCCGTCCGTCCCCTTCAGCGCCTAGTGCTCAAAGACTGCCAGCATACATAGCCAAGTTGATATAGTCATGTCTCTCTGTCCGTGTTCCCGTCCGTCCGTCTGTCCGTTCCGTTGAGCGCATAGATCTCAGGGACTATAAGAACTAGAGCAACAAAATTTTGTATGCAGACTCCTGTGATAGACATACGCACTGCTAAAAGTTTATTTCAAAAATTTTGACGCGCCCCTTTTCGCCCGCACAAGGACGAAAATCTGTGGCATCCACAATTTTGACATTTGTTTTGATATTTTCAAAAACTACATGGAAGTAGATAATTTATGTATTCCTTGATTATAGCCATTGAATCCACCTTGTAAGCAAGGGGAAATGTGTTTTTAATTATTATATTTATGTATATATTGTCGTCTGCCTATCTTTCCTATTTCTGTACTTTGTGTTGGTGAGTTTTCGCGTATTGAGCGTCTGACTCGCTCAGAGAGGAGGTTTGGGCTTCGCAAGGGAGGAAGTCAGACAGTTCCAATAGAAGAAACGATGGCTGATGAAATCGATTCCTCTTACAATCATTACGGAAACCAATTAAATATTCCCCTGTACAAAAAACCCTATACTGTAGTAAAATGACTTTAATATTCCCTAGAACATTCCTGGGCACATCGTAAAAATCTATGAGATTTGGTTTTTGTATTGTAGATTTGCATTAAAATTATTATATGATAATACTAGTGTCGTTTACTTACAAGTGGTAGAGACATGGGGGTCAGAGGCGTTTTTAGGAGACACTATGGGAATTCTAAAAGAAGGTAATAGCTATAGAATATTAGCTGAATTTAGTTCATTTCATAGACGTACTTTTTGCTTCTTCCCTTTTGAGGCGTTGGCAATATTTCAACAGATGGTGCATCGGACATGGCAGATACGATTGGAGTCTGACCCACGATGTCTTGGCGCTGTACAGGCAATTGCTCTGAAAAGTAAAAGAGAGCAAGAATTAAAATTGTATGTAGCCAGATACGTAACGCATTCTCACCTATAGTATAAGGAGCGTTGGTTCTCGAGTCTGGAGCCTGCAGTGTTACGTTATTGGAAATATTTATACCAACCGAATCCTGTATTGGAATACAAATGGGAGTTTCGGACAGAACGTCAGGAGCTGTTACTGTTGCTGAAGACGCTGTTTGCTCTGTGAAGTCATTGTCCGCAGTCGAGTTGCTCTGTTATAACAATAAATTTAAACAATATCGTAAAGATTTAAAGGTTCCAGCCGGTCAATGATAAATAACTTGCCTTATCGAAATCGTCTAATATATTTTTTTTAGTTGCCGGATCGATGATCTGTAGGCGATGCTGATGTCGACGCCTACTCGCTGGCTGCACTTGAACTGATTGCGGTTGCACGCTGGTTGGCATCACACCGACTCCGACCATTGGAGCCACACCAACCTGCCCCACACCACTGCCAGGACCACCCACACCCATGACAGTATTTGCTCCCTGTTGGACAGTGCCTGTAAGCAGCTGCAGCTGTGTCGAGGAGGCACCGGGACCAGCCAGCGGCCCATTGGGTCCGGACTGTACCGGTTGCATTGTGTTGCCCACATTTGTATTAACTGTCACGGCGCTACGTGTATGCGGCGGCGGCTGCTGCTGGAGAGTCGGCACGTACTGGTACTGGTAGTAGGGCATTGGAGCAGGTGCATATTGCAGGTGAGAAGTTGGAAATGTTTGCTGTCGCGGGTTGTATTGAGTGTACGGCTGCAACACCATATTCTGGTGTATTGCCTGCTGATACATAGGTTGCACATGGACGTGACGGGTTCCGCCGGCGCCACCGCCACGCGGAGCATTAGACGCCGGGGGTGGTCCTCGAAATATGCCTCCACTTTGTTGATTTGAACGGGTGTTTCCTGAACTGTTGTTTCCCGTTGACACGTACTGTAAAAGAATATGTAAAATGAGTTTAAAAAAAATGTAATATATTTAACGACAAAGCTTAAATTTTAAATCTAATTTTTCGTACTATTATCCGTGGTTGGCATACATAATTTGTTTGATTTGTTTAATTTTTTTTTATTAAATAAATAAATATTAAATAATAAAAGCACCTTAAATATGGTTCTAATATGTGTTTTTTACGAATTCGTAAAAGGTTTTATTTTCAAGTATCTTTATTTGTATACCAATATTGAAAAATGTTGAGGAGAAATGTATATCAAAACGGAGCTAGTTTGAGCACAAGAATCCAATCTCATGTATCTCACTTGTTCTAGTTTTAAATAGTTTTCGTGTACATTAAATTACTCTCGACAAAGACAGCATAAAAATGAAAATGTCCAATCGTAAAGCAAAAGAAGAAGGCTTGCTTCTGGGGCAGATAGCTTTGAAAGTGAAGGACCAGTTTTACTCGCACTCGGACATACGACACACTTCGATGCGCCGAAGATTAAGAGTCCTTGCAGTTTAGCAATAATACGTCGTTTAGTTGATTTTTAAACCTTTTCAAGTATACAACCTATATTATTGAACAACCTATATTATATGCTGGGTGTGGTGTCAGAATAAATGATAAGTTGAAGACCCAAGGAGATAGGGTCTACAGTGCTTTTTCCGTTGGATTACCTCTGCCGGCGCTGTTTGGAAGCTATTGCTTGACAACAGATTGCTGTTTTTGAAATCGAACTTTCTATTAGTATCAACACAACTGACGCCGACTTTTACGCCGACACCAACAAGATTCTTTTCGTGCATGTATGTCCCAGCGGTTGAACCAATAGCGACACCAATGCTGCTTCCAGTACTGGAACCGTTGCACACTCCGGCGGGAGAGTTGTTACTAGCCGCTACTGTACCGCTGCCGACGCAGTTGCCATTTTTATTCATGTCTGGAACGCTCATGAATCGAAGGTTTCCATCAAGGTTGCCAGGTAACGCCCTGTGGCTTGCTATATTGTAAATAGCGGCTGAATTCAATTCCCCAGAGTTCAACGGACAGCTGTTCACAGTCATTATGTTAGCGCCGTTGCACAGTACAGTAGACTGCTGGGATCCTGCTGGTCCTGCTCCAGCCATGGGCCTGTTCACAACGTTAGCGTAGCTCTGTTGCTGCTGCTGTGTGTGCTGAAGGTGATGGGGCTGTGGTTGCTGCTGCGTCAGGTGGGCTGACTGGTGAGTGGTCGGCGTTGAAGTCTTTAGTATTGAAACCACATTGTAAGCCTTATTTATCGGATACTGTGGCTGTGACGCTGTGTGGCTGTGCTGCTGTTGCAGGGACTGCTGAAGAGGCTGTGGCTTTGTGGGCGGCACCTGTGGAGCATACTTTTTGGACTTTTTATTGGCTGGCAATATCTACAACAGATCACAAGAGTTGACATTGTTTTCTAGACTCTTAAATTAAAACCAAATAAAATTTTTTTTTTAAATAAGGGCGAAAAAGTATCGAAATCCAAAAAGGAAAATTTAAAAAACATCAACTAATCAGAATGCCAAGAAAGTCGACCATTCCGACTATATGCTATTCCGATTTGGTTTCTTTGTTGAACAGATAATTATACTCGATACTCAAAATGAGTATAGAAGGGAGCGTTTCCGACCTCATAAAGTATATACATATATTCTTGATCAACACCAATAGCCGAGTCGATAGAGCCATATCTGTCTGTCCGTCCGTCAGTCTTTCCGTCTCTATGAGCGCCTAGCGCCCACAAAGGACGAAAATCTGTGGCATCCACAATTTTAAAGATACGAAAAACCCAAAAACGCAGGGTCGTAGAGAATCTATCTATCTTTCAGACGGCCAGAATGAAGAAAACAATTTCATTCTCTCCCGCTCTGTCTCTCTGTAACACACACGTTTCATGGTCGGCTTTGCCAATCGCTAAGTGAGCGCTTAGATCTCAGAGACTATAAGAGCTAGAGCAACAACAGTGATATCCAATCTGCACAAGTGCATTTAAAAATTTGGCCCCACCCCCTTCCGCCACCACAAAGGACGAAAATCTGTGGCATCCACAATTTTGAAGATATGGGAAAATTTAAAATGCACAATCATAGAGAATGACCATATCTACCAGCCGAATCTTGATCAGATCGGATTACTATTATAGCCAAAAATTATACGACACGTTCAGACTGATTTTCAGTCACTCTTGCACTCTTTTTCGTTCAATGCTAGCGCCGTCTGCCAGAGAAGAGCCTTACTGACTAATTATCGGGTATAAATTTAGAGTTGCGGTCGCAGCATGACGAAGGACCGAGCCTAGATCTTGACGCTCAGCGCAGAAGTCTACTGTGCGCACTAGAGCCAATCACTGTGTGTATTGTGTTAATGAATTCGGGGTTTGAAAGCGATCACCAGCGGCGACTTCGGGCAATTTTCTTTCAAAGCATTTACTTTTAGCTAGATAATGTGCTATTTGCTTTCCACTGATATATAGCATTAGATTAAACACTTAGCGGCATCCCAAACTTTTTAATTATTTCCAAGATGACATTTTGAAACATGCTTTCGCCATTAAACTACAAATTCATAAGAATCATGATCTTATTTAGGAATATGTCGGCCGTAGAAAAATACTTGGAATGCTTGGAATTGCATCGCCTCTTGTAAGATGTAGTCATTGCATGACAACTTCCAAGCGCAGAAAAAAAAATTCATCAGAATTTTGTAAGTTGTAAATTGTAGGTAGTTTAACCCAGTATAAATACAGTTCTCTATTAGAATGGTGTTTCCATCAATTACATCAGACTTATGCTATATGCCCTATGATCTGGCCAAAAATATAAATGTCCAACAGCACAAACAAAACAAATCTGGATAGAGTGACTTGGCTTGCTTCACTGATCAAAATAATATGACCATTAAAGGTTTAAATAAATAAATAAACTTCAGACTTTACCTATAAAAACAAAGTTTTTTCTAACAAAAATGCAAGACGTACACCAGGTATAACAATAAATGATTTTCTTCTTTTGCTAGTAATATTTTAACGACATTTCAGCCAGGGAAACATTCAAATTAAAATCACAATTGAACAAAATCATAGAATAGAACAAATATTCGATTGATCCGAATATTATAACACTTATTACTGGCAGATAAGATTTATGGCAATTAAAAAATAATGTTTTTTAAATTTTAAATATTATAAAAATATCAATATGTATGTACACATAAGCGTAGACGTCCATTAAAAAAAATTTTGTATATTGTTAAGCTACCTTTTTAGGTAAGGTAAGGTACCAAGTGCCTTGATATATGAGAAAATTATAAAATATAACCTATTTACATAGTATTATCAAAACTTCTCCATCATCTTAAGTCAGGAGCGGTTAACGGATTTTGCCATATTTCGCATCACTCAGCGTTTTTTAAAGTCAAAGTTAGATAAAAGCTGGGAATGGAATTCTTTGTCGCCAGCCATCTACATCTACCGCAATAAAGTGTGTCTGTGGATCTGCTTGAGGTTTCACTTACCATATTTTGTGCTGAATGAGGCTGCATGGCTTTAGCTATATCGGATTGTGTTGATAAATTTGGCGTAGCTTGTTGCATTACGAATAATCCTAAAAGTGTGATTGTATCTGAAATCGCCAAACGGTTAATCTAGCCGCTATGCTGACGATTTCTGTGGCGATCTCTGTCCCACTGCAATGTGTCGTCACACAACCATCTGACTCTGGGAGAGTATGCATCAAATTCAAATGACCGATTTAATAATACCGCATAGCTGTAACCTTCTTACCTGTAAATGGATCAAGCTGTTACTTCCAGAAATGTTTGATCTGCAAGTGTCAACTAAAAAAGACATTCAAATATATATGTAAGTACCAAGTTCAGAGATATATAGAAATGTGTACGTATATGTATATGTACATATGTACGTAAATATATACAATGTTGTTCGAGCTTAACTAAGGAAAATTTCAAGTGTCCAAACGCGCATCCATACACATACATACACATATGTATGTACGTATGCACATAGGTCTCGACCAGTTTACTTCTCTTAGATTCTTGTCTTAAATCTTTACAACAATTTAGCTCTAAATATTTGCCGACGTTGCCGTTTGCTGATGAGACGCAAGACGCAAGCAAGATGAGCAAGAACCTCTTACAAAGGCACCCTATTGTACAAAAAAACGTGCATCTGGCTTTAATAGTTTATTTAATTCTACAAAGGGAAATACCTTTTAACAAAATAAAAGTGGCCGATATATACATTAAGAGTATGTTTTTAAATACCCGAAAACGTCGACTTGGCTTAATATGTCATGTAATTTTAGTTCGCAAGTCCTCGTCTTACCCTTTGATTTACCTGGAGCATATGTACGTTCCGTACCGAAGCAATTATGTACAAAAAAACAAAAGTCTCCACCCAAAGTGTATTATTGAACAGCAAAAAACTAAATTCTATTTCTAGTAATGTTTTTATAATCCAAAATCTACTTTTTTTTTTATTAATTTCCACATGCAATGTGTTCAGCAGTGTGACCGCGAATTTTTCGATAAAATATACCGTCCGACCCTCAGAAATATACCGAAACATACCGCCTCTTTTTCAAAATATACCGTAAATATACTGTCGAATTAAAGTTCTATTTTACATATACCTCGTTTTTGATATTCCGACGAATATTACTAGCTATATAGAACATTTGGCCATGCCATCATAATTTTATACGATTGGTGAATCTATTTCCTACTTGATTGGCCATTTTCATATTTTAATTCATTGTTGAAATCTTTTATTTGTCCCAATGTATACCAGAAATGGCCAGGACTTTTGGGTGTTTTTAATAAACTAAAGAACCTCATCATTTTTTAAGAGGACAAATTCACTATCGATTCCCTGCGGATCTTTAATAAGTTGAGGAAATCTTTTATACAGGTCATGCAAATTGGCCATTGACTATGTCTTCAGGGTTTAGGAATGAGAGAAATTTAAAAACCTTCTCGTTAAAAGGCAACTTTTTCTTTAATTGTATACTCAACTCGATCAAAAATGACTGTGCTCTTTGAAAAAATTCATATTTTTCATTTCTTTCTAATTTTGACACTTCGAGGCTTACAATAATGCACAAGTTCATTTTTTGGAATTCTACGAAATTTAAGTCAGTATTCCTTATATATAAGTCTTTCAAATAACAGCTTAACATTAACTTATAAGTTTCAGACACATTTTTATATATTATGTGTGTTAAAGCTTTGCTAGACTGAAAAATGATATTAAATCTATTTATTATAGGCAAAATATAGTCTTGAAAGTAGAAATATAATTTGACTGAAACGCTTTTTAAATTTGAGAGAGTGTATTCTGCAGATAAATTTTTACCATCTTAAATATACCGTAATATACCGAGAAGTGCTTAATATACCGAAATATACCGATATACCGTAAATATACCGTCGGCTCATTTTGGACCCCAAAAAATACCGAAAAGTATCAAAAATACCGTAAACGGTCACCTTGGTGTTCAGTGTAGAGATGTCAAACCATCGATGGCACTATCGATAGTATCAATGTTTTGGTGCTATTGCTACTGCTTTTTTTCGCTTTTGATATTTGAAGATCGCTCAGCATTCAGCCTTGCAACCATATAAGATCCCCGATTTATACAAATAAGGATTTATTTAATTTTGCTTGAAAAATGCCTCTAATAGACTTCCAATCTTAGTTAAATAAGCCCGATACTATCGATACAGTCAGAAATTTATATTTATATAAATTTATATACCGTCTCATTTTCAAAATATACCGTAAATATACTGACGAGCTCTAGTTATATTATACATATTCCTCGATTTTGATATTCCGTTGATTATTACTAGATATATAGAACATTTAGCCATGCCCACATAATTTTATCCGATTATAAAATAAATTTTCTAGAAAACTGGGTAAATTTAAACTTTAATATTTATTGCATTGCTTACAACAAAAAAAGGTTTAAATTAGAAGCTCAACAACAATTTCCACTAAATTCATTTCTTTACATGATACTTACACTCAAACTACACATTACCTACATATTTATTACCAAAGGCGTCACCAGAAGGGAAATTGTGTACGTTTCAAACAGTTTTGCCCGTTTTTTTCGACACTTTTGAAAAAATTGAGATTTTGATTGAAAACGATCAGGAATTCGATGCTGATGCTTTCTGCCGAGGGTGAGGTCAAACCGCATCTTTAAATATACTGGAATATACTAGAAAATGTTATGAAAAGTATAAAATTTGCAAGGTGTGTGAGGTAGACATGGTGGCAAGAAAATCAGAAAATCACCTATCGTTAAAATATACGTTCTGACCTTCAGAAATATACCAAAATATACCGTCTCATTATCAAAATATACCGATGAAAAAACGAACTTGGCCCACTTCATGATTTACGCCAAAATCTTTATTTTTTGTACAATGGCCGCCATGATATTAAAGGTTCTTCTTTTTTAAGGTTTAACCCAGTGATCATCATTAGTTTTGAGTAATTTGATGAAATTTAGACTTAATCATTATTTTTGATAAAAAAAAAAAATTAACTCAAATATAATGATCATACATATATTATAATAATTTCGCTCAAACTAAAACTTAACGGGAATTTACGGCTTCTATGTTAGAATTTTCGCAAATATTCTTGCATAGCCTTGTGTAGGGAGCACAAACGCTACCCTTTGTGCTAAAATGTTCCTTAAATAAAAGATTTATGGTTTAAACCCTGATTTTGCTTGCTTACACTTTTTTCGGATACTATTCCATAAGATGGTAAGGTCACCGACTTTGATAGTATAAAGTCATTGTACGATAAAATGCTCAAATGGGAAAATTCCGACAATTCTATTAAGTTTTGCTATTCAAATGCTGACTCTCCCATCGTGAAATGCTGATGTGGAACGGGTGTTCAGACAAAACTATGTATAGTCAAAACTTTGCATATAAAAACGTTAAATTTAATTTTCGGCATAAGATTTGTTTTTTAATTTTAAAATTTTTGAATACATCTTAACCCTGTCTAAAATTGTATATGGTGGTGCAGACAAGTAAAATGTTGCCAAATATTATAACAGTGAAGAGGAGGATGCTGAGGTGAACGATATACTTAGTTAATTGTTTTAACTTTCTTTAATTCTAAAACCGAATTGCTAATTATTGTAGAAATTAGCCTACGAATGTAGGCTAAGATCTTCCACTTGTATTTCCTCCACTTTATCGAGTACAGAAAAACTAATGGATCCTTTCGAGGAGCTACAGAGTTGTGACTGGTGCATGGTAGAATGCCGATGAAACTGCGGCGCTCGGTGCAATCGTTGTAGTTGAACTGTTCAGCACGTTCTTCGACCAGACTGAAGACGCACGATTCGCCGGGTGATACGGGCCAGAGTAGCAAGATACGGCGGGTGCACACATGGGTAAATTAGAAAAGTTAGCTGACATAAGCGTATATTACAATATTATATTATATCCTTCTAATTCAGTGGAAGAAATCGACGATCCTGAATAATTGTACGATATGGTGGAAATGGAAATAGAACGTAATGGTGAGGAAGAGAAGGATTCGCACATTGGTGAGTAATTTAGTAAAACTAGTAAACTTCTATAATAACTTCTTCCCCTGAAGGTTTTGTGGCTGCAAGCCCTGCCCCAGCGAGTTCAGCTGAGCAGCCAGTAGCTATTTCCGATAGTAGCGTCCAGCCAACTCCTCGCAGAAGATCAGAATGCACCATGCTCGGGAGATGCAGAATTAAAGAATGTTCAGATTGTTGAAATATTAAAAAGATTTTGCAAAGAACAGCCATTGCGCTGCCAATTCTGCAGTTTATTTCCCAGTACACGAAGCAATTTAGTGTACCAATTTGTCAACGTCATTACCCTGAAGTATTTGAAATGGTCCGAAAAGATCCACAAATATTGTAATCAATCAAAGCAGCCTTCCGAAAGAAAACGAGGGAGAACGTAATGAGTTGATGCGGACACCGCAACTCTACATTTATACCCGATACTTAGTCAGTATGGCTCTCCTCCGGCAGACGCCGCTAATATTAAACGACACGACAAAGAGTGCGTGCGAGAGAGACAGAAAACCAGTCTGAGCTTGACGTCGGGCGCTGCGTAGCCACTGCAAATCGATTTGTTCCTTTTGGCTATAAAAATGATCTGATCCAGATTATACTCTATGACTGTGCGTTTTTAGTTTTCTCGTATCTGCAATATTGTGGATGCAACAGATTTTCGTCTTTTGTGGGGGCGAAAGGGGGTGCGTCGAAATTTTGACACAAAACGGTCAAGGTCCGATATCACAGGAGTGTGGATACCAAATTTGGTTGCTCTGGCTCTTATAGGTTCTGAGATCCTTGAACTCATATTTTGCAATCGGCAAAACCGACCATGAAACCTATGTGTTAGAGAGTGACAGAGCGAGAAAGAATGAAATTGTTTTCTTGATTCTGGCTAGAATAATTATACGATCTGGTCCAGATTTTGCACTCTAGAAGATATAGTCATCTTCTGCGTTTTTAGTTTTCTCGTATAGTCGAAATTGTGCATGCCACAGACAGACGGACGGACGGACAGACAGACAGGGCTCAATCGACTCGGCTATTGATGCTGATCAAGAATATATATACTTTATGGGGTCGAAAACGATTCCATCTGGACGTTACACACATCCATTTTCACCACAAATCTAATATACCCCAATACTCATTTTGAGTATCCGATTCTTGAAGATTTGAGAAAACTAAAAACGCACAATCATAGAAAATGACCATATCTATCAGATTGCTGAATCTGGATCAGATAGGATCATTTGTATAGCCAAAAGGAACAAATCAATTCGAAGTGGCTACGCAGCGCCCGACGTCACGCTCAGACTGATTGTCTGTCTCTCTCGTACTCATTCTTTATCGTGTCATTTAATATTAGCGGCGTTTGCCGGAGGAGAGCCATACTGACTAAGTATCGGGTATAAATGTTGAGTTGCGGTCTCCGTAGCAACTCACTACGTTCCTCCTCGTTGTATATGTAATTGTAATTACAGACATTTAAACAATTGAGACATATAAGGGCATGTGGTGCGTGCATATGTCCGAAAATGTTGTCTTTATCTTTGGTGAAGGTGCGTATGAGCAATAGAGAAAAAAGCTTTACAGTGAGAGAGAGCTTTGACCGAATCCTGCTCTCTTAAGCTACCGCTATTTGCAACTTCAGTAAGAGATTAAGCTGGTCTGTATTTTTATAGTTGTTGTCGTTTCTCTTCAGGATGCTACTGACGGTGCTTTTGCTCCTGAAAAATGCTTCGAGAGAGATGGACGGGCAGCTAGAAGGAGGCCATCGATGGTGTTGTAGATGGTTGCTTCTTTTCCTTGGAACCACCGCTACGAATGCTGCTTCGTTGGTTGTTGTTGTGCTGCTGCTGCTGGTAATACAAGAACTGATTTTGTTTTGGCTTATCATGTGTAAATCAGTTTATCTACTGGTAATGAAAAGAACAGAAGTGCGCGTGGTTCGCTTTTAACGGTTAGTACAGCTCAAGAAAAGTGAATGCTTAGTTTTTTAAAATAAATTGTGACTCAAGTAATTAATAACAAAAATAGTGAGTTTTTACGTATCGAAATTTTTACGTTGAAAAATATACACATACATGTGTATGTATGTTAAATTCTATATAATAAAATAATTTGTATAATTATAAACTAAAATCGAAAGGAGTGTATATGAACAAAAGTATCCCTTGAGAGAAAGTGAATGCATTTCGTGAACAAGACTAATGTTATTTTGCACAATAATACCACTTATATGCACAGAACATTAACTTTGATTAAATAAACATATTGACGTCTCAATAGACTAAGTTAGTTTCTTATCAGTTAAAGTATAATAATATTATATACAAAAATTAATAATATAGCTATACATAAAATACATAGAAATGTAACACTGTATAGTATATACATATATATACATATTTACATGGTACGCTTTCTATATTGCACAAATTTTACAATAGGTCCCAATTTGCTGCGCATACTGATACCATTAACATCGTGTATATTTGTATGTATGTATGTATGGATTTGGCGCTGTGCTGGTGCTTTTGCTAACAAATCTCATATTGTCCGCAGCTCCGAAACAACGCCATCCTCAAATGTACCATTCTTGCTGTTGTTGGTACTTCTTTAAGTTCTTGCATTCAAAGCTTTTTGTGGGTCGCTTTTCACACTTATACAAACACACATATCGGGGTGTAAAAAGGGTCTCTTAGTTTCTTGGCTCTCTTCTCATCCATCCATATCTTCTTAATTTTCATCTCTTAATATACTAAAACATCCATTTCTCTCTCATCTGGCCCAAATGTGCAAGCTCAAAATGAAGCACTAACTTTAACAGTGGCACAGCACATGATCGAAAAACAATAATAATACTATTTATTGAATATATTGATATATGTGTTTGTACGTACATATGTACATATGCATGCATGTATACATACATATGTAAAGATACTGAGCTAGTCGAAACTTTGTCCAACGTAAAACTTTAATCTAACGTAAATGTTTGAGTGGTATATCAGTTTAATATGGGTTTTCAAATTGACCTATAAATCCTAAATGTTTTACATGTTTTGTATATGTATTCTCTACTTTCAGCGTATGTTTAGGGTGAATTCAATCATTGAATTAGACGCAATGGTAAACGAAAGAGTTCAGATGCATCTGAGGTTCTAAAAGGAAACGAAACACACATTCTACAAAGGTTCACTCGTAAAGATGCGGCAGGAGGAAAGTTTATTTGTCAATCGGATCGGTAGTAATATAACTCTTGTTGTCTTGGTGGTTTTGTGTTGGAGTCCAGTGGCGCAGCTGAAGGGACCGAGCACAACGCATGCCCAGGACACTGTCTCGGTTTCACTACCGGGAGACATAATTCTTGGTGGTCTTTTTCCCGTCCACGAGAAGGGCGATGGTGCTCCATGTGGACCAAAAGTGTACAATAGAGGAGTTCAGCGCCTGGAGGCCATGCTGTATGCAATAGATCGCGTAAACAATGATACCAACATACTTCCGGGTATTACCCTAGGTGTTCACATACTGGATACCTGCTCCAGAGACACCTATGCTCTGAACCAGTCGCTGCAATTCGTGCGGGCCTCCCTTAACAACTTGGATACCTCTGTTTTTGAATGTTCTGACACATCAAGCCCGCAGCTAAGAAAAAATGCATCATCGGGTCCTGTTTTTGGAGTTATTGGCGGTTCCTACAGCTCAGTGTCATTACAAGTAGCCAATCTGCTGCGTCTTTTTCATATACCGCAAATCTCACCTGCATCAACCGCTAAAACGCTTTCAGATAAATCACGCTTTGATCTGTTTGCTCGAACAGTGCCACCAGATACCTTTCAATCCGTCGCCCTGGTAGATATAATCAAGAACTTTAACTGGTCCTATGTATCCACTATTCATTCAGAAGGCTCTTACGGTAAGTGTAAAAATTCAAATTACATATGTACATACATAAATATGTATATGCAAATATACGATAACCGATCAAAAAACTATACTGCGTTCGTGTAGAGAAAATGCTAGCAAAACATTCAAAGATACCCTTTTAGTGGAAATAGGAGGCAAGCCCGACTAATTTTTTCCTCTCATTTTCGACCTTTTCTCTTTACAGGGGAATACGGGATTGAAGCATTTCATAAGGAAGCAACCGAGCGGCACGTGTGTATAGCTGCTGCCGAAAAGGTGCCCAGTGCTGCAGATGACAAAGTTTTCGACTCCATTATTAGTAAGCTGCAAAAGAAGCCGAACGCTCGGGGTGTTGTGCTTTTTACGCGGGCTGAAGATGCGCGCGGTATTCTGCAAGCAGCAAAGCGGGCCAAATTGACACAACAGTTTCATTGGATTGCTAGTGACGGCTGGGGAAAGCAGCAGAAACTACTGGAGGGCTTGGAGGAGATAGCGGAAGGGGCTATTACCGTAGAGCTGCAGTCGGAGATCATCGAGGACTTCGATCGTTATATGATGCAGCTCACGCCACGGACGAATCAGCGCAATCCCTGGTTTGCTGAGTACTGGGAAGATACATTTAATTGTGCATTGACACAAGTTTCGACCGGACTTGATGCACCCGATATCAATGCAAGTGCTATACAGAACGAAGGCAAGATTAAACAAACTTGCGACAAAAGCCTACGGCTGTCAGAGAAAGTCGGGTAAGTTCTACGACGATTGTGCAATCTATTTCTAGTTAAAAAATTCTAGAGAATATTGATTAGGTGAGGTCTCCAAAAAAAAAAATAGCATAATCATTTTTCCATCGGAGCGATTGTTACTAACTTAACAGTGTCATGAGCTTCAGTCCTGCATTTCAAAATTGGATTTCACGTTTTTATTTTACATTACGTGTCAAAATTTGCACATTTAGAAATTTACAATTACAATGTCTCACTCAAGTTTGCTTTGATAGTCTCCTGACCAGACTCGGTTTGGACAGCACTTTAGAGGATGTTATGACTTTGATCAGATATTTCAAACACACAGACCGAGGCATCTCTGCCCAGGAGCAAATTATATTGTATACGAAACTTTATTATTTTCTTAGTCAGGATGAAAAATTTAGTCTATCTACAATCTACACGGATAGAGCTAAATACATCAAAATATTTAGGGTAAATAACTGTTTACAATAATACTATACATAAAAAATCTGGTGTAAAAATCAAAATAAACATTAAAAACGAGGGGGAACGTTGCGAGTTGAGGTGGACGTCTCTATATATTAGGAGCGTGGGTACCAAATTTGGTTGCTCTAGCTTTTATAGTCTCTGAGATCTAGGCGCTAATGTTTTACTCTAAGCAAAGCCGGCTATGCTACGTGTGTGTTAGGGAGAGACAGGGCGAGAAAAAATGAAATTGTTTTCTTGATGCTGGCTATATACGATCCAATTCAGATTCTGCAGTCTAAAAGATATGGTCATTCTCTACGATTCTGAGTTTTTGGTTTTATCGTATCTTTAAAAATGTGGATGCCACAGATTTTCGTCTTTTGCGGGGGCGGAAGTGGGCGGGGCGAAGTTTTGAAATATTTTTGTAGCAGTGACATATCACAGAAGTCTGGATCCAAAACATCGTTGCTCTAGCTCTTATAGTCTTTGAGCACTAGGCGCTGAAGGGGACGGACAGACGGACAGACAGACATGGCTCAATCGACTCGGCTGCTGATCAAGAATATATATACTTTATGGGGTCGGAAACGATTCCTTCTGGACGTTACACACATCCACTTTTACCACAAATCTAATATACCCCAATACTCATTTTGAGTATCGGGTATAAAAACATGCTACAATTTATACCCGTTGGGTACATGTTTTTGGAAGAATCATAGCTTTGAAGCTACAGGTCCAAGTTGTTCCTTTATGGTTATCTGTATTGTGGTAAATGACCAGCCTGGTGATTTGTAAATCTATTTTAAATTTCGTTTCAGATACGAGCAGGAGTCAAAGACCCAATTCGTAGTGGATGCAGTGTATGCATTTGCCTACGCACTTCATAATCTACACAACGACCGGTGCAATACACAAAGCGATCAAACTACAGAGCAGCAAAAGCACCAACACAGTGAATCTGTGTGGTACAGGAAGCCGATTGACAGCAAGTCCCAGGCATGCCCCGAAATGGCCAGCTATGACGGAAAGGATTTTTATAACAATTACCTGCTGAACGTGTCATTTATAGGTAAAGTATTATGTAGTTCAAATTGCGTAGTTTAATTTTATACTTTTTCGATAACTGATAACCAATGTCCCTGTTTCCGTCATCTCATCTGAGAAGATCTTGCTGGTAGCGAAGTAAAGTTTGATCGCCAAGGTGATGGACTGGCCAGATACGATATTTTAAATTATCAACGCCTTGAAAACTCTTCAGGATATCACTATAAGGTATAATACCCATTGATGAGTGTCATCACCGCCCTTTGCTGTTGGTTTAAGTTCAATGAAAATAATGAAATATATGATTTTGTAGGTTATCGGCAAATGGTTCAATAGTCTCCAACTGAATTCGCAAACTGTTGTATGGAATAAGGCCGCTGATCAACCAACATCAGCTTGTTCCTTGCCATGCGAGGTGGGAATGATTAAAAAACAACAGGTATGACCAACTCATAAAACCCCAATCCCATACAATTTCACCCAGGCCTTAACAATTTTGAAAAAACTTTTCCAGGGAGATACTTGTTGCTGGATATGCGACAGCTGCGAGTCATACGAGTATGTGTTTGATGATTTTACATGCAAAGACTGCGGCCCAGGCCTGTGGCCGTACCCCGACAAACTTTCCTGCTTTCCTTTGGACATTGAGTATATGCGATGGAACTCCCTATTCGCCCTCATTCCCATGGCCATTGCTTTATTAGGCATAGCACTGACCATCATTGTCATAGTTCTGTTCGCCAAAAACCACGACACGCCCCTGGTGAGAGCATCCGGTCGGGAGCTTAGTTACACGCTTCTGTTCGGCATATTGGTGTGCTACTGTAACACTTTTGCTCTGGTCGCTAAGCCCACTATTGTGTCCTGCGTGCTTCAGCGGTTTGGTATCGGTGTTGGGTTTTCTATTATTTATAGTGCACTGCTTACGAAAACAAATCGTATTTCTCGCATTTTCCACTCTGCATCCAAGTCAGCCCAACGCCTCAAGTACATTAGCCCACAGTCGCAGGTGGTCATAACAGCATCCTTGATCGGTAAGAAACGTATTTCTATAAATCCAGTGACTACAAAACTTAAACAATAATGAGATATGTTGTGTACAGCAATACAAATTCTGATCACAATGATCTGGATGGTAGTGGAGCCACCTGGAACACGTTTTTACTATCCAGATAGGACGGAGGTGATACTAAAATGCAAAATACAGGATATGTCCTTTTTGTTTTCGCAGCTATACAATATGATTCTCATTACAATCTGCACCGTTTATGCAATTAAAACTAGAAAAATACCAGAAAATTTCAACGAATCAAAGTTTATTGGATTCACTATGTATACCACTTGCATTATCTGGCTAGCCTTTGTGCCCATTTACTTCGGCACTGGAAACTCCTACGAGGTATGTATTTCCTAACAATTTTATAGACTGCTACCGGTATTGTCTGATTGGTAATCTACATACTGACTAATCCAGGAATTGGCTAAAATTGGGGTTTTAACGCATCATTTTGTTAAAGCTAATTGTGTGAAAATTTGCGTGCTCGAGCTAGGCAAGTAGCATTCGCTTTGGGAGCGGTTCTCCCAAAGTTTTTGGGAGATTGTTTTATTACAACAGCAATATGTCGGTTAGTGGAATTAAACTAAAAAGTTTTCACGAATCTATATGTACGTTCTTGCTATAATTTGTACACCATGGACACCAAGACACAAAGAACGAGGGGGAACGTTGTGCGACCGCAACTCTACATTTATACCCGATACTTAGTCAGTATGGTAGGCGGAGCTTAAATTGTACGAAAAGGGTGGGTGCGCAGAGCGTGGTGCGCAGCGTAGCCACTGAAAATCGACTGTTTCGTTTTAGTTGTAATAATTATCCGATCTGATCGGCAATCTGGAAGATATGGTCATTCTCTATGGGCGTTTTTAGTTTTCTCGTATCTTCAATATTGTGGATGCCACAGATTTTCGTCCTTTGTGGTGGCGGAAGGGGGTGGGGCGAAATTTTGAAATACAATTGTAACAGTCACATTTCACAGAAGTCTGCTCTAGCTCGTACAGTCTCTAAGCACTAGGCGCTCATAGGGACGGACAGATAGAAATGGCTCAATTGACTCGGCTATTTATGCTGATCAAGAATATATGTACTTTATGGGGTCGGAAACACTTCCTTCTGGACTTTACACACTGATTTTGAGTGTAACATAAATAACATAAAAACTAAATCAAAACCAAAGCTATAAATAATATCGCATTAATTGTTTCAGATACAAATTACCACCTTGTGCATTTCAATAAGTCTTAGTGCTTCAGTGGCACTAGTATGTCTCTACTCACCAAAGGTATACATCCTAGTCTTCCATCCGGACAAAAACGTGCGAAAGTTGACAATGAACAGCACCGTCTATAGACGATCGGCCGCAGCTGGGGCCCAGGGTCCGCCAACTAGTTCCGGATACAGTCGCACGCAAGCTCCGGGAATACCATTGCCAACGGCTGGTACAGCAGGTACTACGGCAACTTCTAGTGACCGGCCATCGCAAAACAGCCCGAGGCCAGGACTGGACCTAGACCTGGACCAGAGTCAAACGAACATTGTCCACAGAGGCAGTACCAGCAAAAATAGCGATCCAGATTCAGAGGAATGCGACAACATTGAGCCATCCTGTATCCGTGTTAAGGACTAAAACTCTAGTCCTGGAATCTGGAACTCGCGTCCTTTTGATCAACGATTAATACATTCAAATATATATCGATAGCCTAATTCAAAAATTATACAGCTTTATCTGTGGGAAATGTTAAATTTGAATTAGATTTGAGTTTGCTACATACATACATATGTTTTCAGAAATATCATACGATCCAAACACAGACGAGTGGGCTAATATCTAATGACCCATGCATCTAGTCGAACTAGTATTACCAATACAATTTAAGAATCTTGTTACCGCAGAACTTGTTTTAGTTAAGTTTCTATAAATTTATTACTTTACATTAAAATTGATTATGTCTTATTGTGACATATGTTAGTCGTATAAGATTATATAATAGTGTTATTGATCCTCAATATTTTTTAAGAATAAATTGGTAGATTTTGGCTATTTCGCTAAATGAATAAACACACGGATGTTTACATATGCTGTGAAACCCAATTAAACCCTCAATACGATCTGTCTTACCCTGTATTAGTCGATCCGATTTAATGAATTGCTAAATGTAGTAAGACAATTATTATGAAGTAATTATGGAATTACGTTGGATACTAACGTCGAACCATTCTGAAATAGTGCGCGATGATATCGAGTTCGTAAAGTGTCCTGGTAAGAGATCGGAAACATACGAATGCTTACATCAAGTGCTATTTATCATGTAACAACAAATCAAAAACTCGTAAATATTGAAAAATGGAGCAACAAATTTACTTACAGCTCCAAATATATCCTTGCAGTGGATAGATTCCTCACTGCAAAGACTCCAACATAGAATAGCCAAAAGCTTGTTAGCCGTAGCTTAGGCAACCATCCGACCGAGGGGTGAAGCCGCATGACGCGTGACGTAGGGAAGAATATGAATTAGACTAATTAACGAGGGACTAATAAATCAGTACTCCATTGTGAAAAACCCAACTCACCCTAAATGATCCAATTAAAGAACTATTAAAACGCCTATTAAAAATACTTCATGCAGCTTGTCAGCTGGGATTAGCATTGACATCAGCGAACCTTATTAAATATTTCTGCTCTCCGCCTATCTTCTTTTTTCAAAATAACCTTTTGACGATGATGATCAAGAATCTGCATATTTGCATGTTGCAAATATGACTAGGAGGTAATATGTTTCAGAAGACAAAAAAGAGGCATTACATTCCGAAAAACTTATTCGGCAGGCCACATATACAGAGATCAGACTAAAAGTATATCGGCAGTTGTATGTATAACATAATAAAAACGAATAATTTGCGTCGAGTGAGTGTATTTCACTAAATTTGAGACACCATTCTTGCTTTGTTTATTTTGTTTAGGTTCAAACCAGTATTTGATAGTCTTACATAATTAATTTAGTATATTATTTACAGTAAAATATATTTTACAATATGATTAACTACAATCAATAACTACATTAAACAGTTTAGTTTCTTTATATAATTTATATGAAGTTACCAGAGTGTACGTGTACCCGAAGTTTAGTGGCTTAAGGAATTATTTTGGTGACAGTACGTGTCCTCTTCTCTATGTCACTATACACAATAGTATGCGTAAACATAAGAATTAAATAAAAGAAAAACTGATGATTGAACCCTTCAACTAAATGTGCTTTCTAGTAAAGCGTTCTTCTGCAGCTGGCGCTGCGTTACACGCCTAGTTATGCACTACGGCCGAGGAATGTTGGATGCTACGTTCAAATTCTTCCAAACTAAGGGTTTGATTCATATTTAAAAGCGGCAATTTTCCGGCAGAAGCTCTGGCAAGAAGTTCTGGAGAAAACCACTGAGCCAATTGATTATTTGTTGGAGATGGCAACCGATCGTCTCTGTGGTAATTACTTTTGATTAAGTTTCCAGATTCCGAGATGTCGGGACAAGCTGAATTTATATAGGGCAAGCGATTCAAGTTAAACGATTAAAAAGATGAAAAATATCGCCTTTCCTACCTGGAATTGACGATGATATCTGTGCTCCGTGAATTACTCTATGTCTCAGTGGTTGATGTGACTGCTGCTGCAGTTGCAGGTAATGGTGATGCTGCATTTGCGAGATTCCGTCAGAATAAGGAATATTCTGATTCACATTTTCAGTGTTCAAAACTGAGTCCGTTGGCTGCATTGGTTTAAACCTTTGCTGGAGCTGATGTTGTTGCTGTTGCAGCTCTGCTTTTGATCCAAACGGCACTGCAGTCAGTTGGTGCGGTACTGTGTTTAGACTTCCCTTTAGAATAGGACGGCCTAAAAAATACAATAAGTGCGTCAAAGTTAGCTTATTTAACTTTCGGACTCTCCACGATATTTACCAAATGATTTTCCTTGTGGCATTTGAACCGTACCATGAGCCCATTTCATCGGTGGCAGATTACGAGACTGCTGCAGTTTTGGGGACATTTGCGGGCTGTTTGGACTAATAGAATAGTTTCCTCCACCTAGTATCATGCGAGGTTGAGCGGACATTGCCTGTGGCTCATTTCCAATTGGGTTTGGAGCAAGCAGCTTAGTGTTCTGTGGATGCATTTGGTATTGCTGGTGTGTCTGATTGTAAGGCGTATCCTTATCAGCTGTCATCTTCCGTAGCACAGACGTAGGTGTGAACGCCAGAGGAGTGGGCGAATTGCTGTGTCGAATATGCTGACTTATACCATGGTTGCTCGAGTTTTGTGGGAATAGGTCTGGAAGTTTAGGGAATTATTTCAGAACTTATTAATCCGTCAGTAATTACATACCATCAGAATAGTTCTGATGTTGCGGCTGAGCTTGATGAAACGATAGGTGGGCCAAGCTGTGGTGATCCATTTCGTTCGGGTATGCTGGCTTATAGGCTAAAGAATTTCTTCTACTACTTGAGTATTCCCGAAGAACGGTTGCAATGACATCTTTTGTGTGAGGCACAGTGCTGGGATTGCTCAATTCCTTCTCCAAAAACTCAACCGAAACATCCCCTCGAGCAATGCCTGCAATCAGTACAGTTTACCAGTACATTATAGCCAAAGAGAAATACTACGCACACTCTAACAAACTTGAATTCAAGAAAAGTATGAAGCATCTTACCTTGAATTAAATGGTGAACTTCCATTCGCTTCTGTGCCAGTGCTATATTTGGCGTGTGGACACCTTGGATGGTGTGCTGCTGCTGCACCATGGCCTCATTTATCCTCTTTGGCATGCAGTCACTATGCTTAAAGCGTTGCTGAAATAACTCCGTGTCTTCTTCCTTAATTTGAGGACTGTGATCCCGCAGTATGTTTTGTTGAGGATCGATCAAATGAGGCCGATGTGTATTTTGATTGGCGCACTGGTGAGCATTCGAAGTATTTATCATATGATAAACGTCATTTCCCAGCTGATGCTGGTTGCTTTGGGAGCCCAGTTGCTGCAGGAGTTTCCTAAAGGCCTCAGTATCCCTAGCTACTGGCTTTTCCACTTGAGCTTGCTGACCTCCATAAGCCACGGCTATTGGGTTCGTGTACTCGGAACGCAGGTTCACTTTAGTCATTTGTGCTTCCAAGTCCTTAACACTGGGTATATCTGGAATAGAAAAGGAGTTGCAGTGAGCAATCCTTGCTTATGTTGTTTGAAATTTATGTTGAAGACCCACCGTGAGTTTCTTGAGCTCCTGACTCCCGAAGTCCAGATGGCTCATTATTATTTGCAGCTTCTTTGGGTCGAAACCACCGGCTAAAGCGAGACGTTCCCTTGGTTTCATCTTGCTCATCGCCATCATTACTCTAAGGTTATTGAAAATGCACATATATATATATTTATTTTTATGAAACTAATTAGTTATATTGATACTCAGAAATATATGTCGGATTATAATTTAATTCTCAGTGTATTATGCTCGGTTGGCTATGAATGAATTAACTACGAAATTTTTAATAGTCCAGTTCTCTGCTGTTGCCCGGGTATTTCCCACTTTCTATCAGTCTCGTCTTCTTCTTATCCATTATTTCTTTCCGTTATTCTTGTTCCTTGTCTATTGGGTTGGTGTACTCGTGTTGTTAAGGCAAACTGTATTGAGAGACTTGTTTAGAGAGGCTCGTAGGAAGGATAATCATAACAATCCCAATCACTCTCTATTCACCTATTCATCTTTGACGCGAGAGTAAGTCGCTGAGAGTCAAATTGCTAATCATTTCAATATAATATAATAACATCAAAGTGAACCTTTATCTTTAGTCCGATTAGGTTATCAATACATCAGATGTATTTTGTGCAATATGTACACTAAATTGTGTTTTTAAAAGGACAAGAGAAAAGGTGACAAAAATTTGCGAAAACTGGAGCACTTAAAAACGGAACAATTTGGCTGAAAACACAATCGAAGTCCTATTAGAAAAGGGTATATTACTTCTGCAGGGTCTGAGTAAATATTGTAGTGGTGACGACAATTGTTGGTCTACGAAATCCGCGTGACATACTATAAAAAACTAAGTGGGCTAAATTGGCTCGTCTGTTACATAAAAGCCGATACAAAAAAAAACAACGACTATAGGAAATGGTTATATTTACCATAAGTGTAGGATCCAGGGGGTGCATGTTGAGAAATGCATCGAAGTTGAATTCACCCTCGGAGTTTGAGGTACAGGGTAAACGGCCTGATTGCTGATGGTTTTTGCTTTGTTGGGTAGGTTCCAGTTGGGGCTGAATGACACTTTCCCCAGTGTCTTTGTTGTCGTCCTTGGTCTTCACATCGACTACGTTTAGGCTGGACATGCTGCTACTTGTTGAAGCACCGTCGACTACAATTGGTTCAGCAAGTTGACTTGGCTTTGACGGAAATCGATTCGCCTTGTCTTCAAACTCTGAGCGCTCATCATTGTGATCGTGATCGTCGAATCCGTGCAAATCTATTGTTTCTAGCTGAGACGTCGGACCAGCACTGAACCACTCGGGTTCTTCGTGCCTGTCATGCTGATGGTACATGTTTGTGCGCTTTCCCCGACCTTGGATACATCCAGAATCCTTGTTTGATGACCGGCGGGAGCTCACTCCTTGCCTGTCGACAGATCTTTTGTTGTCGTATTGAAACCGTCTATCTCCTATATGCTCAGTAAGTCGATCGCCATGTCTTCCACTAAACGTCCGCGGGCGCTGTTGGTTCTGGTTCTGGCTTTGATTTTGTTGGTTAATACTTCCACTTCCATTCTGAGATCTTTCCTTTTCCTTTTCAATACCAGATGATGACTGCTGTTGGCCTTTGTAGTCCCAATTATCGGCTCTGGGCAAAAGTCGACCACTCCCAATGCGCCTTTCCTGACGAGTCGTCGAAAACGTCGGAGAAGATGCCAGAGATTGGTCATGATCTTGTTGGACATTGTTGGAACGTCTCTCACAGCTCTCCCCCCATTCACTGGCTTTTCTGATTGGGGAGCTCATGCCTTTGCTCTGGCTTTGGTTGTGCGTGGGAGTGGATACATGGGTATGGTCTAGCTCTACAGTCACATTCTCCCCGACTGCAATATCGTCACAATTGGTGTTTATCGGTTCATTTTCAGTGCCGTTACCGCAATTGACTACAGCGAAGCGTCTTTTGGCAAATGCCGGCATTAAATGCGATGAAGATATGCTCCGATGATCGATGATTGACGATTTGAACGGTGGACCACCCAGAACGCTTTGCGTCGATTGTGTATCTTTATCCTTGTCTTCGATACACATTGAGTGGGAATCACTGGGTGCAAAGCGCTGATAATAGTTATTGGCTCGCTCCCGATTTCGCATGGCGCGCCGCGAGCTTATTAATCCATTATTGGAGCTGCTTAGACTGGAGTTATCAGTCTCTGGGGACAGGCTGATTTTATTTGGATTTGCATAGTTGCTGGGGACATTTGCACTAGCGTTAACTTTCCAAAAATTTAAAGTCTGCAGTTCATTTCGATTAGCACATTGGGGGCGCTGGCGACTACTTCCTTCATAACGTAGTGCCAACAAATCTGCTCTTGAGTACCTTAAAAAAGGGGGTAACAAAACAATTTTTTATTAAACAGATATAGGTATTTCCACAGGCATGTGCAAGAACTTGGGAACTGGTCAAAATATTTATCAGGAAATTAAATTGGAAACAGCTTTCACTAGACATCCGCATTAATACATACACGTATGCATATGTATGTATATTTATTTGTAATAATTACATATATACGTAAATAAATTCGTCGCTTACAAGTGCAGAAAGTTTTGAACAATACACTTGGGCCTAACGCTTGACTTATTAATCATAGGATAAATAGTATTATAGTAATAGTCGAATAAATAATTCTTACCTCGCTTGATCTTTTCTTATATCCATTTTTTACGAAGTTGAGTATTTCAGCCGGATTCCGTCCAGGTTAATTTAATTTGAGTTAAAGCTACTATTTTTGAAAATGTTAGCTATGCGCATACAGTTCAAAATAACAAGAGTACTCAATTACAAAAACGCGTTTATGTCTCCTGACGAGCAAAAATGTATACATACATACATATGTAATATTTAAGTTAGAAATTCTGCACACGATGTAATAGGTCTCTTCTTGCAAAACAGAATATTGTACGGTATTATTTACGATTTAAGTAAAACTATCAAAATACACACAGTGACATTTGTTCGTAACATATATAATTTAAATAAAATAATTTTGTGAAAATCACGACAAACTATGGATGGAAAAAATAGTGCAAATCATCGATTAATATTTCATAAAATACGAGTGGAGTACGAGAAAATGTTCTCCTAAAGTTTGTTTTGGATTTTGGAACATGGGAAAGAAACACGTCCGTGACAAATAGCCTCCATAGCAAACAATAATACACACGCAAAGTACGGCATGTGCACCCACAAATTAAAAAAAGCTGGGAGCACAACATAAAACAGAAACACAGAACTCTAAAAAACCAAAAAGATCATATAATCCCAAATGTTTGTGAAACAATTTTGCGCGTGTTGTACTAACACATGAAAATCGTTGCTAACGACAGAGCCGAAGACCCTGAGATTTAGTTTTCTGTGTTCGCTGTGCGACACATTCGTTGTATGAACTGGCACATCTACATATATACTGTATGGTTTATGGCTCCATCCACAAAAAAATAAATTAGCGATCAGCTATTGCAATATTGTTTATAGCCTTTTCCCACACAGCTCATCTATGGGGAGCGGTGGGATTTCTTAACAGAAGTGAAACCTCGATTCCCACTAGCACCATCCACCACCAGCCATCTTCCATCCATAAAAAAAAAAATTGTCTCTGAAAATTTAACATTCCTTCAATACCACTTCTGGCGTTAGCTGTTACGTTTTTGGTTTGACGAATTTCAATAATTAATTGTTCTCTTTCATTATGCTGTCCAGTTCACAGACTATGCGCCTGGTTTTAGTAAATTGAGATTATACCAGCAACGTGCACCGTGTTTTGCAATGTGCGTTGGTAGTTTACACGATTCATATCTTTGTTTGGCATTGGCATCTGGTCTGAAGAGCTTGTGAAGTGGCTCTAAAGTGGGAACGGCCTACCTATGGAGAGTACCGAAAATAAGCAGCCCCGGACAGCCAGCGGGTGTTCGCGAAGCAGCAACACTGACGATGCGCTTGTTGTGCCGCCTCACACACTTCTCTATCCCTACACATTACACATCCCAACCCCCAACACTCACCTCACACAGGGCCGGACTAAGTGGTTTATTCTTCCCGTGCCTAGAGTCAGCCTGGTTTGGGGGCCGGTGTAGAAAACTGGCCCAAGCGGGAGAGTTCAGGGACTTGGCAACCCCCTGTTCTACGGATGACTTATCCCGACAATGTGGATCTCTGCCCGGACGTACCAGACCCCTTTTTTTGCTGTTCGTAGGAATAGAATGGAATATTGAAAGCAAATAAAAAACATAGATGAGTTTGGCACTCTCCAAATGCTAAAAGGGAGCAATCCCAAACAGGGAAAGGCAGCGGCCTAAAGGCCTGGCCCAACGCTAAACATAGCGGAAAAAACCTGCGCTGCGAAAGACGGTAGGGCGAACCCAAAGAGTCCATCCCGGATACAGGGCGGGTGGTAAATCGCCTCCCAAAACCGAGTGGCAGAGTGGTTATGCAATTCTGCGGCTGCTCTACCTGCTGGTAAAGTGGTGGGGGGCGAGACGCCATCGACTAACGTCTAAGCCAAAACGTGCTGGCAACATATTTCGTCGGCAAGATGCAAGCCAGATCCAGCCAAACGGACAACTGGCTGAAAAAGGTTAAGTGGGCTTCGAAGGTGCGGGCGAAATATGACACAGAAGCGCCGAAGAAGGGAGCCTCTCAGCCAAAGACGCAACGCTCGCAGGAGACTCCTGGGCTGGCACCGAAGCGCTCCATAGTACTGCCAAACACCTCGTTCGCGCAGATAGCCAGAGAGAGGACGCTGATTGGCGTCCCAAGGAACCAGTGGAAGTGGCTAGAAGCGGTACCGGCCGACCGCTGCTTGTCTTGGAAATCTAAGCACCCGACGATAAGATGGAGACAGACCTGGAAGGTTACTCGACCGACAGCACTCTGAGGCATGACTTCGAGGCGATATGTCGTGACGACGAAGTCGAAGACGGCCTAGACGCTCACATTACAGTGGCGGAGAACTCTAAAGATGTCCTCTAAAGGCTCCTCCAGATCAATCTCCACCATTTTAAAGCAGCATCCAGAGCTCGGGGGAAGCCCGGACACAAATGTAAGGAGTGAGCCACTTTTCAGCTTCATCGGTAATAGGTTACTGACCTTATACAAACTGTTAGACATAGTCAAGAGTTTGAAAGTCCGACTAAAGCAAACTGGGAAAAATATAGTACAACCCTGGAGGACTTACTCCTTCACTGCAGTGTGCCCCTCTAACAAACCTAGGGGGGAAAAGAAAACAAATAGACATTCTACAAAATCAGTCTGGGCAAAAATGGCTGTGGGTACATTCCCGCCAGCTTGGCTTAAGACATAGTAAGTCTTCATCTCCAAGGCTCTCTGCATCTCAATGAATACTCACTAATAGCCTTGAAATTGTGGAGCCTTCAGTGACATCATCGATGGGATCGTCCGCCCAGTCAAGGTATGTCAACAGAGGCACCCCGCAAGGTGTCGTCCTGTCTTCTTTTCTGTAGAACATAGCAGTCAATCAGATTCTATGCGACCTGGAAGGGAGGGGACGTGGCTTACGCGACCTTGCAATTATCTCCTCGGGGAAATACCCCCAAACACTCTGCAACTTAATGACCGCAAAGCTAGCGCAACTGTTGGTATGGACAGAACCGCGCGGCTTGGGAGTAAATCCCTCAAAAACGGAACTCGTATTATTCGCAAACAAATACAAGGTCCCTTCCCCAATCCACCAATATTACATGGATGCACGCTCTTCTTTGGCGACAGTTCCAGTTAGTTAGGGTTGGTAATTGAGAAAAAGCTTAATTAAATCTTCAATGTCATAGATAGAGTGAAGAAGGCCACGACTGCGCTCTACACATGGATCCAATGGATATACAGTAGACTCCGGTTATAACGACACTCAAGGGACCGACAATTTTACGTCGTTATACCCGGAAGACGCTCTAACCGAAAGTAGAAAAAAAATTAGTTTTTCTTTATTTTATGGTTGCAATGTTCGTAATAGGTTTTAAAATAGAAAAAATTAATTTTTTAATAAAAAAAAGTAACAAATTTAATTCAATAACAATGTTTTTTTTCATAAAAACTCGTATACATACACATAATTCATAATATAACAAGATTAATTTTTATGTTTGGTTTTTCTTTTAATTCTTATTTTTAATAATCAGTAATTTTTTTTTATTGTTTAGCAGTAGTTTTTGACATATAACAACAATCGCGCACAGCATTATTTAAACGTGATATGCTGTGCGTTAAGCTCTCGTCATTAAAATTTAAATGGAATCTATTCAAAATTTCTGCAGCCTTAAATCGCCAAACCATTGTCAATAAGAAAATTTTCATCCAGTTCTTCCTTTAAAATCGGTGTCGGTAATTGATAAATACATATGTACATTTACTTTGTCCAACAGCTGCTGCTCTTGTTTTTTTTTTGCTGCTCCTCAGTTTCCCCAATAGCAGTCCATAACTCCATCATTCGTCTTGTATATCCTCCGCTGAGCACTTGTTGGGGACGTTTCTGCTGCGGAGCACTAATTTCACCGGCTCCCGGTGTAGGGTGGTGCGACGGTGCGTGCGTATGTCCGCAACAATAATAATAATTAATATTATTTGTCAAAAAAACAAATGGAAAAACACAAATAAAACTGGGGGAAAACAGTTTTTTTTCGTACAAACTACAATGTGACCGTATAATTGCTGTGCGTAGAAAAGTGCCTTTTTTATACTTTTAAGTTTTTTTGATATGCCAAAGGTTTTTTTTGTTTTTATGTTTAAAATTATTATTAGTAACATGGATCTTCATAATGGAATACTAGATTGAAAAAAAATAAGCTAGAATAAGCTAAAAATATCTTAAAACATAAAAACACATAAAAATCATGGATACTTTAATATTGTCGATATACTTTTTTTATTTTTATTTATTATTAAAGTAATGGCATGATTTCTTCCACTTCATTATGCTATGGCCGAGTGCTCAGCAAGGTACAAACAAACCGCAGCCTCCTGCTCCTCTGCTTCTTGAGAGCTTTTTAATAAAATGTATTTTGTTAGTTTGTGCCATGCTTGCATTGGACGTTTTTTAGCGACAGCATGCTGCCATAATTCGCACAAATTTAACCCTATTTTTGCATTATAAAAGCAGCTGTACGATTTTGTGGGGTCAGTTAGCACATTGCGTAGACACTCCTTAAATTCTTCAAAGTTTAACCAGAAATTGTGTAAATTTTGATAAGACACTTTCGTCATTTTCTCTTATGTAAAAGTGCAAACAATACTGTAGTGTGTCTATAATTTATCAACGAAAAATTACTATACATTTATACACAAAATGATGTACCCAAAAATGAACAAGAAATTTCTCGCTAAAAATTAACAAAAATTACAAAAAAAATAAAAAAAAAAAACAGAAATTTTGTTGTACTAATTGTTTTAAATAAGCTAGATTTCAAGCTATAAGCATTTCAAATATTTTTCAAGCTATTTGGTTTTAAAATAAGCCAAATCTAGCTTAAAATAAGCTAAAATGTCAACACTGTACTAGGGGCCTCGCTCGTACGCCACAAAATACCGTCGACAGACCGCGATTTATTAAAAAATGTACGTACAAAAACTATTTGGCGGTCAGACATTTGCATAAAATATAAGGCAACGACACAGAATAAAATTTCGGCCGAAGACGACCGAAAACTATTTTTATATAATAGAGAGATATTTATGTTTTTTTAATAAAAATATATGTACATACATATATTAGTGTTGAGCGAGCAAAAAATAATTATTACTGCAGTGAACGAACTGAATAAGTTCGCCTTAACCTTAACTTACCACGGATTATAAAAAAACCAAACTTTGATCCCTTGCTCGAGTCTCTGATAACACAATCCCTCTCTCTCTCTCTAACAAGTACATCAATGGGATAGACAGGCAACCAGAACAATCTTTTAACGGATTCTTAGATAGCAGAAAGACTAAAAATACACTGAGTCATATGTGTATAAACTTCATCAGCAAATATGTTTATAGTTTTTTCACACGCATTCAAATTTCTATTTATGTTCTACATATGTATGTGGATTTCATTTTGAAATTCGCAAGCTCATTTGAAACCGTTTTTAAAACATAAGTGTAATACGACTTGGGAAAAAACGTGCAAGTACAATCGCTCTCTTCGGCACGCTTATGGCGATTATTATTAAAATGTCTTTGGTATTGTCTGTCAAAATATATTTGTTATACCATTGAGCTGTTGACTTTTTTAAATAAAACGAGGGGGAACGTTGTGAGTTGCTGCGGACACCGCAACTCTACATTTATACCCGATACTTAGTCAGTATGGCTCTCCTCCGGCAGACGCCGCTAATATTAAACGACACAAAAAAGACACGACAAAATTGATTTATTCCTTTTGGCTATAAAAATGATCTGATCTGATCCAGATTCAGCAATCTGATAGATATGGTCATTATCTATGATTCTGCGTTTTTAGTTTTCTCGAATCTGCAATATTGTGGATGCAACAGATTTTCGTCCTTTGTGGGGGCGGAAGGGGGTGGGGCGAAATTTTGAGATATACGTTTTATAGTGAGATCTAAAAGGAGTGCGGATACCAAATTTGGTTACTTTAGCCTTAATAGTCTCTGCGATTTGTGGATGCCCCAGATTTTCGTCCTTTGCGGGGGCGGAAGGGGGTGTGTCGATTTTGACACAAAACGGTCAAGGTCCGATATCACAGGAGTGTGGATACCAAATTTGGTTGCTCTGGCTCTTATAGGTTCTGAGATCCTTGAACTCATATTTTGCAATTGGCAAAACCGACCATTAAACTTGTGTGTTAGAGAGAGAGAGCGAGAAAGAATGAAATTGTTTTCTTGATTCTGGCTATAATAATTATACGATCTGGTTCAGATTTTACACTCTAGAACATATAGTCATCCTCTACGATTCTGCGCTTTCAGTTTTCTCGTATCTTTGAATTTGTGGATGCCACAGATTTTCGCCCTTTGGAAGGAGGGGCGGAAGGGGGCGGGGCAAAGTTTTGAAATATACTTGTAGCAGTGACATATCACAGAAGTCCGGATATAAAACGTCGTTGCTCTAGCTCTTATAGTCTTTGCGCACTAGGCGCTGATAGGGACGGACAGACAGACAGGGCTCAATCGACTCGGCTATTGATGCTGATCAAGAATATATATACTTTATGGGGTCGGAAACGAAACCTTCTGGACGTTACACACATCCACTTTTACCAAAAATCTAATATACCCCAATACTCATTTTGAGTATCGGGTATAAAAAGTCGAGCGTTTCAGTTAAACTTATGTCCAATTTATTGTTACATATATGTACATATGTAGAGCTTATGGCTTATGCAGGTTGCAGGTTGCAACCAGCCAATTTAAGTTAGGAGTATGTTACTGATACGGCGACGATAAAAAAACTCTTTAATATAATAGAGAGATGTAGACAAAGTCAAATTCCTAAAATATCCTATTTTATAATGAAAGATACCTTACCTGCATTGCATTTAAATAACCACGAGACATTTTAATTTTAATAGACTTTTATATTTTGTTAGGCTTACTTAAAATCAACACAATTTTTATTGGCTGTTGGGCTACTTTCATAACAATATAGCTGCCGAATATTACCAAGTGGATAGCTCCATGCGTTAGATGAGTCCGAAAGAGAGTTAGGGCTCAGTGTCGTTGGTCGTGGATGATGCTCATTAAACGGGTTTACTTGCGATTTAAAGAATACTGGAAAGGCAACTCTGTGCTGTACTTGTGATTGAGCAGATTTAATGGCCACAGATTTCGAGTAAAATTTCTTTTTCGTAAATGTAGTTGTTGCCTTTTTTGAACTATTTCGTTCCGGTTGGTGCTTAAAACTCTTTCCTCGAGTGAAAATTCTTAAATGACCATTGAACCCTTTCGTCTCCTAGAATGAATTTTAAAATAGTGATTACATATTAAATTGACAAATGAATTTATATTGGTGGGACTACGCGTATAAGTATATGGAAGGTACCCTAATAGCTTGAAACCAGTTACATACATACATATGTATGTATGTGTGGATCTTATAGTCTTCGAAATGTAGGTATTAGGTTTCATCAGTAAACTCGAAGGAAATGTCTTTATCGACATAGATGCTAAATGTACATTCTACATGAAACTGAAACTGCTTGTAAACTCAGTAAGCGTAAGATATCTGAAAACGTTGCTGACTGCAGCGTAAGTGGTTCCAGTGGTTCCCTCTGGCTAGTGAGGTCTGTGCGGAAATCCATGAGAGAAATTGAAATTCGAACCAAAAATGATGTTGGGAGTATCGGTGATAAAACAAAAACTTCTTGTTTATAGGTACTAAGGTCTCCTTAATCGAAAACAAGAGATTAAGTGTAAAAATTGTGATAAGCAAGATAGGTAGGCTAACTTCGTCAGAAAAACTAGCTGACAGATCCATCGATTATTTTGATTCAGTATGTATATTCTTGACACCGATCCATCAGTATGATGTGGTATTCGAATTCCGCACATTAAGAGCATTGTTCGGACCAATCGTTAAATTTAATTTGAAAGAAGGCATATCTAGAAAGTTTCAATCTGTCATTAAATGGGTCAAAACTTTATTTATTGTCAAAAGTGTATATTTGTGTGTATATTTCCACGAGCAGCATTATCAAAACAAAAAGCTTAAGAGAAAGATATCGCAATAAAAAAATTTGTATACCTCATTACATTTATAGCCTTCCTCGCAAATTTCGGGTTCCGCATTCAAGGAAGTCCCAGCCATTTTTACTTTTCCATTTGAGTTTGATATGGAGCGGTTAGTATTATCGAGCAAACAAACATTTGATTTCAACTCAAGTTGATCCTCGGCATCCGTTGTAATACCATCCACATCCACATCAGCATCAGCATCTACATCAATATTTGTACTTGGTGTCTGAGAATGACTTGAACTTTCACTTTCAGATGATATATCAGCTGCTGAATGTGGACACTCTGCGAAATGCTCATTAAGAACTTCGTCTTCCGTTGTTTCGATATCCACAACCTCATCGTCGTCGTCATCATTATCATATAAATGTCTTTCTCTTCCGTAAGCCGATTCTGATGAAATTGATTTATCCGAGCTGTTTTTGTTGTGAATGGATAATGAAGTCGAAAAATTGATTCTCTCACTTTCAATATTGGATTGGATAGTGTCTAATATTGGCGAAAAACCTTCTCCTGTTGGTAAGCGGTGCGAGGCAGTTGTAATACTGTTATGCGTTAGAACTGTTGTTGTTCGGGCCGTTTGAGTTGGGGTAATGTAAACGTTGCTATTCGAATCACTAGACCTAGTGTATAATGAAGTAGATACAATTGCTGCTGAAGCGACAACTGGTTTAAATGCAGAGCAGCTTAATATCGATGGAATGTTATAATCAGAAAACGTTAGACCACTGCTGCCGACATCAGACAGCTTTCGATTTTTAATAATGCCACAAATAGAAGTAGACGAAGTTTCGTTTCTCATATTAAATTGATGACGCTCCCGCTCCCCCAAGCGAACGGCATTAGATGTCGTTGATGGCATATTCGTTTCTGCCCTAGCCCATGGCATTGGGCATGATTCGAAGTCAAGAGCCGATTCGCAAGGCTCGGCGCCGCAGATTTTCGAATTTTTCGATTGCTGCTGCTGATGAATTCCGTCCTGTTGCTGCCACATATAGTCCACAACAAAATTTCTTGAAAGGGGCATTATTGCTAGGTCGTGGTCGTTGCGAAGCGAGTGAAGGGGTGAAAGGACCGAAGAGTGATGTAAATTGAAAGGTACTCCAACCGTAGCAGCAGCTACAGCCGTAACGCCGACCACAGCGGCGGCTGCAGCCACGGTACTGTAATTATATTGGTGATCAACGGATCGCTTTGATAGTGGGGCCTCCTTGCATGCTATGTTTTTAGTATCTAGTATCTCACAGTCAGTTGGTGAGCTACAAGTACTTCCACCTATTATTGTAGTAGCTGACGATGACGTTGGTGAGCTTTGATTTCGATTGCGATTAACATTACTATTGCTACTAACAAGTCTTTTCCTGGTGCCACCATTAAACATTGCCTTGACATCTTCCCATGCATAGATAATTTTTTCGTCGTGGGCGTTTCCACTTAGCGTCATATGCCGTCGCCAGGAATTAAAGTTGGCAGCATCAGGCTGAACGTACCTGTCGTTTGTTGTGATGCGATGTGAATGAAAAATGAATTTATTCGGCGAGAAGAACATTCCACAGAATGCACATTTGATGCATTTGGCTCGTGATGAGTTATACCGAGATGGTAAGAATGACCCACGACATCCCCATGCACATTTATGCTGCACATTAAATGCAAAGTCGTCAGGCAATCGAGGTGGTGAGTTGTCGCCCAAGAAACTCTTACAAAGACGCTCAGCTTCTCTTCTAGTTATCATTCCGCATCGCCGTGAACTTACCGGCATGGCACCTGCTCTTCTCAGAATCTCCAACTGTACTGGTGTACATTGGACGCAGGTAATGCCAAGCGCCACACGTCTATTATGTATTTCATTGTAGCTGAACTGTTTTAGAAGAGTATTTGAGATTTGCGCCAAGCAGAGTCGCTCTTGACCCTCAATGTACAAAGACACAATTGGTATTCCATAAAGCAGAACCGAGCTAACCTAAAAATAATAAACGTACATTAATTGAGGCAATATAATCTTCGTATGGTAGAGCGAATGTATGTAACGGGCAGAAAGAATCGTCTCAGACACCATCATGTATAGGAATACTAAATGTAATTATATTTATAGAACAGCATCAAAAGTGAAGTTGATATGGTCTGATTTTACGCAAACTGGTCTCTCAGTGTTAAGTATTTGATCTATCTCAATGACTCATTGCCAATAGTTGACAAAATGCTGTAAAATGCTGCTGTTATACAACACTATGTGGTTAACCTTATCTAATGACTTTGATAAACTATGGCTCAGCTATAAAAACAACAATTAAAACGAGGGGGAACGTTGTGAGTTGCTGCGGACACCGCAACTCTACAGTTAAACCCGATACTAAGTCAGTATGGCTCTCCTCCGGCAGACGCCGCTAATATTAAACGACACGACCAAGAGTGCGTGCGAGAGAGACAGAAAATCAGTCTGAGCGTGACGTCGGGCGCTGCGTAATAGTCTCTGAGATTTGTGGAATACCCAGATTTTCGTCCTTTGCGGGGGCGAAAGAGGGTGTGGCGAAATTTTGATACAAAACGGTCAAGGTCCGATATCACAGGAGTGTGGATACCAAATTTCGTTGCTCTAGCTTTTATGGGTTCTGAGATCCTTGAACTCATATTTTGCAATTGGCAAAACCGACCATGAAACCTATGTGTTAGAGAGAGACAGAGCGAGAAAGAATGAAATTGTTTTCTTGATTCTGGCTATAATATTTATACGATCTGGTTCAGATTTTGCACTCTAGAAGATATAGACGATTCTGCGTTTTTATTTTTCTCGTATCGTCGAAATTGTGGATGCCACAGATTTTCGCTCTATGTGGGGGCGGAAGTGGGCGGGGCGAAGTTTTGATATATTCTTGTAGCAGTGACATATCACAGAAGTCTGGATCCAAAACATCGTTGCTCTATCTCTTATAGTCTTTGAGCACTAGGCGCTAATAGGGACGGACAGACGGATGGACGGACAGACAGACAGGGCTCAATCGACTCGGCTTGTGATGCTGATCCAGAATATATATACTTTATGGGGTCGGAAACGATTCCTTCTGGACGTTACACACATCCACTTTTACCACAAATCTAATATACCCCAATACTCATTTTGAGTATCGGGTATAAAAATTGTATGGGATTACCACGAGTTTTTCGTATTTATTATTATTTTTGTCATTTGGGGGACTCAATTTAAAATTTTAATCCACAAGACTACACATTTTTTGCTGAATTATATTTAGAAAAAAACAATTTTCTTACATTTTACTTTTAATTGATATAGGTATGTTAGCGCTTTGTTAGTGAAATGAGATCTATTTATAAATTACCGTCATTAGACACTAATACATATATAATATCAACCATCTTAACTTAAACAGAATTTATATGCACGCTACGTGTGCCATTTTTCTTCTTGGCATTCATCATCAAGTTAACAATAAAATCGTATTTTAAACTCAAAAAAGTTTTTCACCGCTCTGGACTTCCAATCTTTATAAGCCATGAAAAAGTAAAGAAAAAAAAAATGAAAGCACGTAGCTAATGATACCACAAGGGAATCATTTGTTTACTTTGGTTTTCTTTTAGTAAGAGAAATTGACGCACCCTTAAAAAAGATTTCCAAATTGTCTCCTTATGGCAGCTGACTATTCATTGTTAATGTAAACTTGCGCAGCTTTAGAAGAGACACGTATGCAAACCTCAAATAGCCTCAAATAGATGTAAAATGTACATTTTATAGCTAGTCATGCAGCTGAAGCAAATATATTAGAAAACATTCATGTCTTAAAATGAAAAAGAAAAACTACAAATTTCTTGGAAATTTTTCTGCCGAATTTTCTATTAAATATTTATATTTTCGCCATAAATTAATTAATTGATACATAGTTTTCTAAGTGTTCTTGTTCCGTAGATTAAAATAAAAACGAAAAAATTTATAAAAAACGGAATATTAAAAAAAAAAAAATACATAACACAAGATACATGTGTACTATTACACTGATACATCAAAATATACGGTATAAATATAATAATATATAAATATATATAAATATATGGCCGTAACTACATAAAGTGGAACTATAAATGTCAAAGTAATCGTAATCTGTTCTGCCCGTAATATATATTTTCATTAACGAATAGCCGTGCTGGCAGTACTTGTACGTTCAATAGTGTCTTTTTACGTACATGATTTGATCTTTGAGATGTCTGACTGTTTTCCATTCCATTAGGTGGATTCGATGATGTTTCAGTTTTTTGTACGGTTTCCGGAAACGCCATTTACTAAAGAACTAAAATAAATATACAGATTGAAAAAGGCAGTAAATTTAATATTATTCATCAAAAAAGTCTAAAATAAGAATAATAATAATAAGTCTAAAGAATAATAACTGTTGAGAGAATTAAATATTTGTATGCCGTTCTTCTAGTCTAAATATTACAAAGTACAGCGCATACCCTGTAATAAAAGAATACAGCGTTATAATTATACCCCATACTCAAAATGATTATAGGGGTATATTAGATTTGTGGTGAAAATGGATGTGTGTGTCCCCATAACGTATATATATTCTTTATCAGCATCCATAGCCGCGTCGATTGAGCCATGTCTTTCTGTCCGTCCCTATGAGCGCCTAGAGCTCAGAGACTATAAGAGCTAGAGCAAAGACATTTTGTATCCAGACATCTGTAATATGTCACTGTTACAAGTGTATTTGAAAATTTCGCCCTGCTCCCTTCCGCTCCAAAGCACGAAAATCTGTGACATCCACAATTTCAAAGATACGTGAAAACCAAAAACGTAGAGAACGACTATACCTTTTAGACTGCAGAATCTGAATCAGATCGTATTATTATTATAGCCAGAATGCAGAAGAAAACAATTTCATTTTCTCTTGCTCTGTCTCTTTCTAACTCACACGTTTCATGGTCGGCTATGCCTATCGCAAAAAGTGAGCGCCTAGATCTCAGAGACTATAAAAGCTAGAGCAACCAAATTTGGCATCCACACTCCAGTGATATCCAACCTGCACAAGTGGATTTCAAAATTTCGTCCTACCCCTTTCCGCCCCCGCAAAGGAAGAAAATCTTTGGCATCCACAAATCGCAAAGACTATTAGAGCTAGAGAAACCAAATTTTGTATCCATACTCCTCTTAGATCTCATTGTTATAGGTGTATTTAAAAATTTCGCCCCATCCCCTTACGCCCCCACAAAGGACGAAAATCTGTGGAATCCACAATATTGAAGATACGAGAAAACTAAAAACAACCATAAAGAATGACCATATCTAGCAGATTGCCGAGTCAGGATCAGATCAGATTATTTGTATAGCCAAAAGGGATGCAAATACATAAATATGTATCAACGTATATGCATATAATAAATTTTGTTTTATATTTTGCGATATTGGACTTGCACTTTTTACCCATCTCTCAGAGACTATAGGATATTCAGCAATTTGTTTGAATATCTTATGAACAACTTGGAAAACAAAATTGTTGATTTTTGTTTTTTGTATAATACATCCAATCATTTTCGTTTATGTAACTACATATATACATGTACATAAATGTCAGTAAATACTGTTTTTTCGCTTTTTTTGTGTAAATAATTAAAAAATATGTTTATGCAGAAGTCAGAAATATTATTTTGAAATTTTAAAATTTTGAAATATACTTGTAAAAGAGAGATCTAACAGGAGTATGAAAACAAAATTTGGTTGCTCTAGCTCTAATAGTCTTTGCGATTTGTGAATGCCAAAGATTTTCGACCTTTGTGGAGGCGGAAAGGGGAGGGGCGAAATTTTGAAATCCACTTGTGCAGGCTCGATATCACAGGAGTGTGGATGACAAATTTGGTTGCTCTAGCTCTTATAGTCTCTGAGATCTAGGCGCTCAATTAGCAATAGGCAAAGCCGACCATGATTCGTGTGTGTTAGAGAGACAGACCGAGAGAAAATGAAATTGTTTTCATCATTCTGGCTATATTAATTATCTGGCTCAGATTCTGCAGTCTAAAAGATATTGTCATTCTCTTCGTTTCTGCGTTTTTGGTTTTCACGTATCTTTAAAATTATGGATGCCACAGATTTTCGTCCTTTGTGAGGGCGGAAGGGGACGGGGCGAAGTTTTGAAATACAATTGTAACAGTGACATATCACATAAGTCTGGATACAAATTGTCGTTGCTCTAGCTCTTATAGTCTTTGAGCACTAGGCGCTTATTGGGACGGACAGACAGACATGGCTCAATCGACTCGGCTATTGATGCTGATCAGGAATATATATACTTTATGGGGTCGGAAACGTTTCCTTTTGGACTTTAAACACATCCATTTTCACCACAACTCTAATATACCCCTATAATCATTTTGAGTATAGGGTATAAAATGGCGAACTATATGGAGTATATGGAAATGAGTTTTTATAGACTTTTTATATGTTGGCCTCGCTTGACATTTCCTCGGATATGCCCATTTCTAGCCTGGGAGGCGCGACGAACTAAAGTTCACTTGAAGTTCGACGACCATTCTAATCCCAATTGGCTCTTGCTTGGATCAGTAATTATACAGTAGAAAGTCTTGTTGTTAGGCTGTAAGAACGAATAAAATTCATATGTATACACAATTGGGCAAATACTTGAGGTCTTTCAAAATCAGAAAAAAGCATATTAGCTGGGGAATTGAAAAGATTCTGGTCAGGAATGGGACTAATAACAATTTATGTTACAAATTTGTTTCATATAAAATAATCAGGCGTTTGCGCATCGCATCCCTTATGCCAAAACTCCCTCATTCAATTATAGAATGCGTGTGAATGGCATAATTGAAAAGGAGACTGGTCCCTAGAGTACATTCGTTAAAGATAATAAGGTTAGCAAAAAAGTTATACAGTACAGATTGTTAAGCTTAATGCCATTGTTATTACATACCCACGCTTAAATCGCTAACGAAAGGCGAAACAAATGATTAGAACAGGACGGACTCCTTAACTCGAGAAGGGAGACGGTAGAACCGGAACCCCAGTCACCCACTAGAAGACCAGAGGGTTGAACGAATTACAAACCAGTGAGGTAAATAATGACAAAATTATGTTAGTATTTAGAAAAAACAGCAGATTGTTAACAATCTGGCAGATGTACTTAGATAAGCGGGGTGGGATGATGGTGATTCCCTGAGGCTATTGAATTTTCCATAGGGTTGTTTGTAATCATCAGTTCCACTACGACTAGGTGTGTTTTAAATCCATATATATGCAAGCTATGCTCTTGTCCATAGTCAAGAAACAAGTCAAAATATAACCTGAAAATAAATTAAACTCCTAAAATAAACTTAAATGGTTGCTCCTAACTGTTCCTAGTATGTAAACATCCTGATCCCATAACACTTTGCCCAATTAAAATAGTAACATCCACACATGTGCTATACAAATTCAATTATCTCCAATTAATTTGAGTGCTTTGTTTATACGAGGCGTGGGCGTGCCTCACACTAACACTTGTGTTGTCCATTCAGTGAGCTCTCATATTTCAAAGTTTGGGTACAAAAATGAGCCCACTCGTCGGTCGTGTCGTCATACAATCTCTCGATTTTACATGCCCGATGGACTATTGAAATCGAAAACGATTACGTTTCGGTTCGGTTTGGGTCTCAGACTGGGTCTGAGGGTTGAAGCACGAAAGCATATGCCTTTTGACGAGTACGAATACAAATACAGATACTGGGGTAGATAAAGACTAAAATACCCACTGATGAGTTGGCAATAATTCGCTTGAGTGGTTGCTGTCAACAGGCAAATAATAGGTGTTCTATTTGAGGGCGGCGGAGAGACATTACACAGGACACAGGCTGCCATGCCATTGCCGTGCTGAAGTCGTGCTGGTGGCAGTGATGGCCTTTTGTTTACACGTACAACATCATGCATATTTAATTGGGTTAAATTGCTTGACGATTAACGTTTGTATGTGAAATGCGCGGATAATTGAGTTTACTTTGTCTAATTACAACGGTTTTTATATGTACAGAACGCGTATCCATGGAAATATTGAATATGCGGAACTAACGTTGTGATTAATATGTACAGGACAGGTCCCGCCATATATTTTGCAATACATGTATTTTAACCCGCTTAGATTAAGAAAAACATTTTTTTAGGGGCAATCCATCAACGTTAAAAATCCATAAAAGTTTACAGGTAGATCGTTCTCATGACTCCTGTTCGAGAAAAGTGTATTTTCTCATTAAAATTTCCTCAATCCAATCGCAAGTTATTTGAGTAAATACGATTATCATTGATGATTATGCGATAGTGGCAGTCTTATATTTTGCAAAAGTTCGGCTCCACCTATCATTCAGGTTTAGGAGGTCGAAAATTTGAAGCAAACTTGATCCTAGTGTGTAATCACACACTACATTATCCAGTTTCAATAGTCTCGGCGATCTATGCACGGACAGATTAATGACTGTCGATACGGATATTGATGCTGATCAAGAAGGTAATCGGTTATATTTTATGGGATAATTTGGAAATTATGGAAATGAATTATTCTGGATCTAGCCCATTTGTAATTTAAATACATCTCTGGGTACACCCGTTGAGAAGTGATATAAAAACGTATTAGGTTCGGCTCTACTTCCTTGTTTAAAGACGATTTTCTGTACTCAAATCGACACAATATGTTGATAGTATAGTAAGTTATTCTGCGACAGAATGTGACCAAGCAACATCCACTGTATTCATAGTTCAATAGTCTATACATATTTTTGGATCATTCATAATTTGCTGAAGATATTTCCTCAACGGCTGCCAGCCCCTATTTTCCCAACCCAACTCTTATGGAGATTTGGGGCTCGCTGAATATTTTGTCGATATGTGTACTAAGCTAAGTCAATAGTTTATTCTGTTTTCCAATTATCAACGTTATCAACGGACGTCACTGAAAATCAGAATTTATTCATTTCTAGACTGCGCCAAATAACATACGTTATAAAATATACGCTATATAATAAAGGAAATTTAGATTGATTGAGATTTGACCCTTGGTTTATAAACGTTTTTTCTAAATGGTAGTATACGATTATATAAGATAAAATGCTAGATTTGTATAACTTTAGATTTCACTATGTACAAACAGGACGGGAAGAAAATAAGTTTAAGAAACAAAAGGAATGTAGTCCTTTCATTCGATTATTCTTATTGCCGCTATATGATATATATATATATATAATATAGATAATTTGGTCTGATCCGACCGCCAATAATTTTCCTATACAAGGGAAAA